ACTCAGTAGTTGTGGCACATGGAGTTGCTCCACAGCATGTGGGATCTATCCAAATCTGGGATAGAACCCGTGTCTCCTGCATTGGCATGTGGATTCTTTACCACGGAACCACCAGAGGAGCCCTATTTTTCACATATTTATATCTCAGAAACCAGGATGCACCTTACATTTGATGCCAGGAGAAAGCACTGCCAGTGTTTACATCGCAGTATGTCTAGAGAAAACAAGGGCACCTCTCACGAATGATGACATCTTAAATTCGTGAAATACTATAATAAAAAAGCCTCTGTTTATTGTGTCACATGGATTATTTCCTTTAGTCATCACAACCCCTCTAGGGTAGAGATATTATTACCCCTACCCTGTAGGAGAGGAAACTAATCAGAGCGGTGAAAGCGAGTCACTCAGTCATGTCCAACTCTTTGTGACCCCCATGGACTACACAGTCCATGGAATTCTCCAGGCCAGAAGACTGGAGTGGGTAGCCTTTCCCTTCTCCAGGGGATCTTCCCCACCCAGGAATCGAACTGGGGTCTCCTGCATTGCAAGCAGATTATTTGCCAACTGATCTATCAAGGAAACCCTGATCCCAGGAAGCCCTAATCAGAGCAGTAGAGTAGCTAGATCATGTTCCCACACCTAATAAATAATGCAACTGCTATTTCACAAGATTTACCTGGTCCACACATCTAATATACTTTGTTCTTCCACAACAAAAGATTACGGGTCTTGTATACTAACAAGCTTTATTAAAAGATGCAAATGTCCAAGTGACTAAAATCAGGTAGCAGCAAGAGAAAGTTCCCCGAGGGCCGATATGAGTTAAAGTCCAGATTGGAAGGGGTGAAGTGGGACATGGAGTGGAATCTAGAGCTGGAAGGAGCTCTGAGGTCAGAAATGGGGTTGGGAGAGGCAGGGTGTACAGAAGCAGGAGACAGGCTCCAAAAGAGAGATGAGAAGGGAAGGGGCACAGCCTTGGCAGATTTACCCTGAAAATCCTTCCTCTGGCAGGAGGACAGGCTCAGAGGGTTGAAAACAGTTCCCCTAATTCAGCCCAACCCACTTCCCCCGCCCTGAGCATCTCTGCATCTGAACCCTGTTCTTTCTAGGGTGCATGTCTGTCCAACCCTTTGCGACCCTAGCCCACCAGGCTCCTCTGTCCATGGAATTTCCCAGCAAGAATACTGGAGTGGGTTGCCATGCCCTCCTCCAAGGGATCTTCCTGACCAAGGGATCGAGGCTGAATCTCCTGCATTGGCAGGTGGATTCTTTACCACTGAGCCACCTGGGAAGCCCTCTCTCTAGGGTAGGAAGAGAGGAAGAGGGAAACTGAGAAACAAAGAAACCCACTACCTCTCTTGCCCATTTAATTACTGAGACAGTCAAGTGCCTTTCTCTTACACTTATATTTTCCACCTAAATGTCTGTAGAATTAGTTTATAGGAAGATATACGTGTTGTGAAAATAAATGTCCAGTGACAAGCCTCAGCTTCACATTTTGTGTCTGGAAAACTTCGTGTATCTATTGTTGCATATAACACCCCTGGGTTCTAGGAGGAGAAGGGAGTAGCACCTCTTTTAAAAAGGAAGAAAAAGGGACTTTTCTGGTGGTCCAGTGGTTAAGAATCTGCCTTCCAATACAGGGGACGTGGGTGGGTTCAAACCCTAATTGGGGAACTAAGATCCCACAGGACTTCTCAAGTGGTGCTAGTGGTAAAGAACCCGCCTGGCAATTCAAGAGACATAAGAGACTTGGGTTTGATCCTTGGGTTGGGAAGATCCCATGGAGGAGGAAATGGCAACTCTCTCCAGTATTCAGGTTTCCCTGGTGGCTCAGACAGTAAAGAATCCACCTGAAATGTGGGAGACCTGGGTTCGATTCCTGGGTTGGGAAGATCCCCTGAAGCAGGGCAAGGCAACCCACTCCAGTATTCTTGCCTGGAGGATCCCCATGGACAGAGCAGCCTGGGGAAAGAAACTACATGCTACAACTACTGAGCCGTCTGTGCTCTGGAGCCCTTGTGCCCCAACAAAGATCCTGTGTACTGCAACTAAGACCCAATGTAGGGAAAAAAAAAAAAAAAAGACCCAATGTAGGGCTTCTTCAGTGACTCAGAGGTAAGGAATCTGCCTGTGAATGCAGGAGATGTGGGTTGGATTTCTGATCCAGGAAGATCCCACATGCCTTGGAGCAACTAAGCTCATGGGCCACAACTACTGAGCCTGTGCTCTAGAGTCCGGAGCTGCAACTCCTGAGCCCACGCACAGCAACTACTGAAGCCCGAGAGCCCTGGAGTCCTTGCTCGGCAACCAGAGAAGCCACCTCAATGAGAAGCCGAGCAGCAACGAAGATTCGGCACAGCCAAAATTTTAAAAATAAAATAAAAAAAGATCCAACACGGCCAAATAAATAAATATTACAACAAATTTAAATAGGAAAAGAGAGATGTAGCAAGGTTCACAGACCCACCGGCTCCTCAACAGAACTGGGGCAAACCTATCAGACAGCCATAGCCAGGTCCCCCCTGGGATGGCATGCACTTGCCGCGCATCCCATGGTGTCTTCCAACGACCTTCAGAGGAAAGGCTCAGAGATGCTGAGTGACCTGCCTAAGTTCTCCTACCTAACAGGTGACACAGCCAGGATTCAACCAAAGTCAGTCTAACTCCAGAACCCTACATGACTACAGTATACCAGCTGCCTGAATTGACAGACTCTCTATGAACCTGTTCTCTGGTTCAAGGGCTGTATCCTGCACCCTCCCTCCACCAGCGCAGTGTTACAGGGTGAGGCTGGGTTCGAAGCCCCTTTTTCACCCACGTCCCTCCCTTGTTTCCAGCTGCAAACAGCCTCTGCTGTTTCTAGAAAAATTTAAATCGGTGGGGAAAGGCTAATAATCTACTTAATGAAATGACCCCCTCTTCTAGCCTCTCCACCTACTGGAGACCCAAGGAGTTAAAAATGAACCTCCCCAGAATGTGTCACTAATACGCGGGGTGATTTGAGCTCAAGGCAATGGAGGATCTAAAGACCCAGGAAGAGCTTTTTATCTCTCACTCAATTGCCTAAAATAATTTAGACAGGGGGCTTGTCTCAGAGAGTGTTATTATCAAAGAGAACTTTTATCTGAGAAACTCATCTGCACAGCAGGGCAAACATCTCATTACCAAACACATGTTCTCTTTTTGTCCTGTGATTTACCCTCCTCTGTTTTTTTTTTTTTTTTTAATTTGATTGCGCCGGGTCTTAGCTGTGGCACATGGGCATGTGAACTCAAGTTGTGGTATTCGAATGCCTAAGTTGCAGCATGCAGGATCTAGTTCCCTGACCAGGGATCAAACCTGGCCCCCCTGCATTGGGAGCACAGTGTCATAGCCACTGTACTACCAGAGAAGTACCCTTTCCTCAGTTTTGAAGCCCTAAGCTCTTATCCCATTCCTTAGCTCAGAATGGCATATAAGCCTCAACTGTCCTTGGGTCTCATATTCTTTTTAAGAAATACTTATTTTATTTTTATTTTTGGCTGAATCAGGTCTTACCTGCAAAGCTTGGGCTTCTCTCTAGTTGAGGTACCTGGGCTTAGTTGCCCTGGGGCATGTGGGATCTTAGTTCCCTGACCAGGGATGAAACCTGAATTGCTTGCATTGGAAGGTAGATTCTTCACCACTAGACCACAAGAGGAGGTCCCAGGCCCTTATATTTTTATGGGATCCCTGAATATATGTAATTACACTTGTTTTGCTCCTGTTCATCTGTCTTAGGGGTTTCCCAAGGGGCTTAGTGGTAAAGAATCTGCCTGCCAATGGAGGAGACGCAGGAGACATGGGTTCAATCCCTGGATTGGGAGGATCCCCTGGAGAAGGAACGACAACCCACTCCAGTATTCTTGCCTGGGAAATTCCATGGACAAAGGAGTCTGGGCAGGCTGCAGTCCATGGAGCTGCAAAGAGTTGGACACAGCTGAGTGCCTGAGCATGCATGCATGCCATCTGTCTTGTGTCCATTTGATTATTAGACCAGCCAAAGAACCTAGAAGCCCAGGGGATGAATTTTTCCTCAACAGCATGCAAATTAAGTAGGATAATAAAAAATCCTAACCTGTAGCTCAGCAGTTTTATACTTCATTTCATATATTTCTCGTCTATTAATCCTTTTGGTCCTGTGTGAACCCTGTGAGGACTGTAACAAGTACTACCTTTCTGGTTTTCCAGGTGAGGAAATGGGAGTCTCAGAGAGGTAAGACTGAGCCCAAGTTCAGAAGAAGAGATAGAGGGTTGACTTGAGCCCAGCATATTAAATCCCCAGGATTAGGGTAATTTCTAATAAGCCACCTTGTATTCACAGAGTTCAGACCCCAGTGAAGGTTAGTTGGATTTTTTTTTTCAATTAAAAAAATTTTTTTTGTGGCTGTGCTGGGTCTTTGTTGCTGCGCTTGGGCTTTCTCTAGTTGTTGAGAGCCGAGGCTACTCTTTAGCTGTGGTGCGCGGGCTTCTTATTGCAGTGGCTTGTTATAGAGTCTAGGCTCTAGGCTCATGGGTTTCAGTAGTGGCACACAGGCTTAGTTGCCCCAAGGCATGTGGAATCTTCCTGGACAAGGGATTGAACCCATGTCCTCTGCATTGGCAGGTGGATTCTTAACCATCGAACCACCAGGGAAGGCCTTGCATTTTCTTGACTTAGCACAGAGGGAGGAGATGGAGGACTAAAGCAGGAGGAGAGGGAGAGTTCAGCAGAGGGCCAGATGAAGATGCTGAAATCCTGGGGTGGGTAGGAGAAAGAAACCAGAGAGAAAAGTCAGACCACTTGGGAATTGTCCCTGGGGTTCATTGAAACTCAAAGCTAAGGTGGAAAGCTGTCTTCTACCTGCTCAGGGCCCCGGAGAGAAAGGTGCTTTACAGATGTCCCCTGGGAGGCTTGGGAAGAACACCTCCCGCCTTCCCATGGCAGGGGAGGGGGGCCTGCCCAGTTGCCTTGGTAGTGGTCACATTGTGAGGTGGTTCTGGTTACAGGCCACGGGGTTGAGGAGAGAGGAGACAGAAGTGGTGGGGGCAGTGGCAGCCTCCTGGGCTTTGCCTGCCCCCACCCCTCTGCCTTCTGTCACCCCTCCCTTCTGTCACCCTCACTGTCATGGGCAGTGCTTACCACTGGGAGGCCCGTCGGCGGCAGATGGCTTTGGACCGGAAGAGGTGGCTGATAGCCCAGCAGCAGCAAGAGCAGGTGCAAGAGAGGGGCTGGGTTCACCGGGGTCCTTCCAGGGATAGGGAGGAGATGGGGAGGGAAAACAGATCCCCAGGAAGCTACTATAGAGCGAATGTTGTTTTGCTGGGAGCTGGAGGAAAGCAAGTTCCTTTGATGTCGTGGATGTGTGTGTGTGCATTGGGGTGACCCAGCTTTGTGGTTATACTAGGCTGAGGCCTCATGTGGGACTGAGGGGTCAGGCACAGGAGGTTTTAAAGCTGCACTGTCTGATACGGTGGTTACCAGCCTGTGTGCTATAGCCCTTGAGACGTGGCTAAGAGACTGAGGGACTGAATTTTAAATTTTACATATTTATTTAAGTATAAATTTAAAAACAAATATCCACTTTACATACTGGCAAAATTTTAAGTATGTTTGGAACAACTTGGGTATGTAAATCTACTTTTTTGATTGTAAATTATATGAACTCGAAATATTGATCAAGTTTATTTTGTAAAACTTGCCTTTCTAAAATGAATTTGTGTTACTTTATTTTTGGCTGTGATGGGTCTTCGTTGCTGCATGCAGGCTTTCTCTAGTGCGAGGGCTTCCCATCGCGGTGGCTTCTTTTGTGTGGAGCACAGGCTCTAGGCGCATGGGCTTCAGCATGGCTGGTGGGCTCTAGAGTGCAGGTTCAGAAGTTGTGCCCGGGCCTAGTTGCCCCATGGCATGTGGAATCTTTCTGGACCAGGGATCGAACCCATGCCCCCACAGTGGCAGGTGGATTCTTAACCACTGGACTACTAGAGAAATCCCTTGATCAAACATTTTTGTTATTAGTTTATTTATTTACAGTTGTGCTGGGTCTTCCTTGCTGCTCCGGCTTTTCTCTAGTTTCGGAAAGCAGTCTCGGTGCACAGGCTTCCCATTGCAGTGGCTTCTCTTGTTGCAGAGCACAGGCTTCAGTAGCTGTGGCGCATGCGCTGTGGAGCACAGGCTCAATAGTTGGGCTTAGGTGCTCCTCGGCATGGGGGATCTTCCCGGGTCAGGGATCGAACTGGTGTCACCTGAACTGGCAGGCGGATTCTTTACCACTGAGCCACCAGGGAAGCCCTGCAACCACACATTTTTTGAAAAATGTAATGTCTAAATTCAGATGTGCTGTTGAGTATAAAATGCCCTCTGTGTTTTGAAGACTTAGTACAAAAACAAACACTATCAACTATCAATATTATCATATTGATTTTATGTTTTGGATGTATTGGGTTGAATAAAATACATTGTTATACTTAGTTTTACCTATTTCTTCTTCCTTTGTTATGTGGCTAATAGAAAATTTTAAATTATATATGAGAGTGAAAGCATTCGCCTCTGAATATGGTACCCATTAAATTTCTACTGGACAGTGCTGTTTCGAGGCATTTGTAAGAAATTATTCTTTACTCTCTGGCACTGCAAATGGATTTCAGTGCACACAGCTCTCAAGCTAGGAGGTAGGGAGTCAGAGGCTGTGTTTACTGGGCAGGGGATCTGCCAGGGGGCACTGTTGCTATAGAAACAGTTTAGGGTGTGGGTGGGTGAGGCGAGATGGCTCAGGCTCCAGGCTCAGCCTTCAACTCCAGGGAACAGAGACCCTGCAGTCACCTCCGCCTCAGGATTCCCTTGTCTTGCTTCCTGCAGTGTCTCTGGCAAGCTGGTGAGTGGGTGGGGTGGGAGGAGGATTCCACTTGTGGGGGGCTTCTTGCCAGGAACTGAAGAAACTCCAAGAAGAGGAACGTCAATGTGAGAAGAAAACCCAGCCACCTCAGGAGACCCGGCAGGAGTCGCAGCCACCCCTGGCGCAATCACAGTTGCCACCTATGCCACAGCCACCGCAGGTGCCCCAGCAGCCACCACAGCCAAAGCAGCAAAACGCCCAAGAACGTCTTACTCAGGGCACCTCCCAGTACATCCTCCAGGATTCCCAGAGGCCAGGTCCCCACAAGGACACATACCAAGGAGAGGTGACCAACCCTCATGGTCCTGGTAAGATACCCAGCAGTAGGAGGTAGTGAGGAAGGAGTCCCTGGTGAGGGCCCAGATGCCATATTTGGGGGAATCTCCTTTACTTGGGAGTCACTGTCTCTGAGTGGCTTTGTGCCAAGCTAGGGTGGCAGAGAAACCTGCCAACTTCCACAGAGGGTGGCTCAGAAGTTGTCAGTCCCTCCTCTAGGGTGAGGGGGACAGACTGGGGAGGGAGCCAACAGAGGGCGGGAGATGAGTTGTAGGCTTAGCAACAATGCCCTGAGCCCTGTGGGGTCTGGAACAGGGAAGCACAGGCTGGCTTCCTGGTAGAGAATTCTCAGTGTGGGCTGGGTCTGTGCCTTGCCTTAGATAGGGGCCATGGCCCGCCTGGTAAAGAATCCAGATGTGTCGTGTTCCGTTCTCAGAAACTGCCAGATGAGTAATTGTGCTTTGTTTCGTCATCAGGTTATAAGAAATGTAGCCCAGATATGCAAACCAAGTACTCACGATTCACGGTGAGACAGATTCAGAGTGTGAAAGCCAGATAGCTTCTGGCTGCGTGTCTGAGTGTGCTTGCGTGTAAGTGTGGGGGGAGTCTAGAAAGGCTTCCTTGGCAGAAGTTGGGAGAGGGGATTGAAGCTGTTCAGTCATTTCTGGATGGCCCATTCCTCCATTCCTTCCCCATAAGAATGTCTCGGCAGGCCCCACTGCTCAGTACCAAGTGTAAGTGAAGGAGCTGACAGTCTAGCTGGGAAGGCTGGACAGGTACAAAGAAGCACAATCTAGGGGCTGATTAGGATAGAGTCCGCTAGGCAGGAGGGAGGAAAGACCTGAAGTAAGAGGTATGGTTCTCAGTTAGGATCACCACTCTCTGGCAGCAGGACTCACTCTCTGAGTCTCAGCTGCCCATTCATTAAAGGAGAATGATACCAGTTCCACAGTAGAGCTGTCATGAGGACTGGATTAAAAGGGAAGGCATCTGAAGCACTTAGCTTAGTGTCCGCTAATTGTAGACCATCAAACCCATGAAGACTCTTGAGAGTCTTGGGAGTTACATAAAACAGGATGAGCTTTGGAAAGGTTTTTTTTTTCCTTCCTGACACAGGTGCCAAGGACAGGAGAACCCGATCATAGTCCTTTAAGATGAGGACTGGGCTGTTCACTACATTTCACTTTGATTCCTTGGCTTCAAAGGGCTTACTTAATACAGTAAGCAAACCCAGTGGGCCTGGGAACTGCTGACCTGTTTTTGCCTCCTGTCTCTCCTCCTTCTCAGTCAACGAATTACATCCAGCAGTGGTGATTCAGAAATAGACCCCAAGATCCCACTGGCCATCAGCAAAAAATCAGATAAGCAACCTGATCTTCTTGCCACCCAGCAACACCTCCACTTCAAAAGCCAGTCCCTCCTGATCCACTCTGGCAGAGGAGCTGAGCCAGGAATAAAATGTGATTTCTTCCTGGAAAGAATCGAAGAGACTGGTCAGGCTCTGTGAGATTGGGATGAGGAGGAGGGGTAGGAAGAGGATGGAGGGAGTGTGGGAAGAAAGTGGAAGGTAAGTCCTTGCTTCTCCAGGTAAAGCCTATGGGAGAACTTGGCTTTGCACCCCTCAAGTCTACAGCTCCACTATTGGCCCTTATTTAGGAATGATAGGCCTGTCGGGAGCTCAGGTTCATGACTCTCATTGGAGCCATCAGCCCGGCTCCCTGGAGGATGCTTACTGAGATACAGCTGGGGGAGGAGGGGTTGTATCACACCAGAGCAGACCTGGGGCAGCGACGGGAAGAAGTGGCAGACAGGGACCCCCTGCCCCAAGTCCAGCATCAGTCTGGTCCACTGTGGGCATGCTGCTGTTGATGATGAGAGGCAGGGACGGAAATAAAGAACTCAGAGGAAAGGGGGAAAGTAGTCTCAGGCACAGGACACCTGACCTTAGGAAGAGGGGGACTGCCCCACCCCCCAAATCCATAGGCTTCTTCCTCCCTGGGTCTCAGTCTTTCCGTGTAGCAGAGACAGCTAAGAGGCTCTAAAGCCCCCAGATATCCCCCTCCCCACTTCCTGAAACTGACAGGTAGGGTCACCCAGCCTCATCCCCTCTTCCACTCTTGACTGGTAAGGGGGGACGGTGCCTGGGTCCTTTCATTGTAGCATGGCCTTTGGGTTGGAAATTAACACATTCCGGTATTTTTGCCTGGAGAATCCCGTGGGCAGAGGAGCCTGGCAGGCTACAGTCCACAGTGTTGCAGAGTCAGACATGACTGCAGTGACTTAGCATGCACAAAGGAACCTCTCAGTGCAGTGTTTCTTGAGAGGAGCACTTGGGGGAGGTATGGGGAGGGTGGGGACACAGAACAAGAATATTAAAGTTGGATGGGACTTCAGAGATATATAACGAGAGAAAGGGAGAGAAGCCAGAGAAGCAGGGCATGTTCCTGAGGGGCTCAGGGACTGGGGAAGACACCTTGATGCCCACCTGGACATTAAGAAATAGGCTGTGAGACAGGGAGTGTCCACCAGCAGCTCCCTTCCCAATTATAGGACACCTTTATTTTTCTTTTTTAAACACTGTTAAGTACAGTTTAGTGAATACAATGTAAATCCTTTACATTTTCCGAACTCCACACAGCATAAGCTCCAGCCTGGACTTCGTGGATTTTCACGCTGTTGCCAGCACCACTTTGACCCGTTACTCAGGCATGAAAGTGTGCATACGGCATGAACTCCTCCCTTCCTCTTGTCCCCTGGTCAGCTAGTCATCAGGTTCTGTCCCCACTTCCCTTTCTCCATCCTTCTTACTTCACATTCAGCTTTCCCCACCCTCCAAGCTCATCTCTCTGCCTGTCTGAGTGATAGGAACCACGGTAAAGGCGACGCTGGCACCGTCTGACCTGTGTCCACGTACATGGGCTCAGGGTTGTGACCTCCTTCAATAAATACCTTTTAACATGACTCTGGTGCAGAGAATAATATTAATAAAAGTGTCTTATGGAGAAGAGAAGCTTTAGCTGCAGAACAGCTCTGTGTTCCTGGGGACCCAGATCATCTATAACCAGGAAGGAGGCAGAGCCAAAGGGCCTTGGCCAAAAGGTGGGCAACAAGTTACCAGGAGAGAAGCAGGCCGTCACCAACGATCTGTCATGTGACCAAAGCAAAACGCCCTGAGGACAGCACAGGCTGGTCCCTGTCATTCCCATCACTGGGCGGAGAACTGGAAAAGGATCCGTGGAGTCAAACCAGATAAAATGAAAGTTGCATTCAGGCAGGAAGAAGGCCTTCCCTGGAGGAACCAGGCAACCACAGTGCTCAGCATAGGAAGGTGGGTCCTGCTCCATGCCTCTGAGGCAGCTCTGAGGAAACTTTGGGTCAGACTTCCCTCCAGACATAACCAGGAGGCCTCTGGTGCTGGCCTCTAGAAGAATCAGGCTTCTGATACTGTGGAAATCAGAGAGTGGGTGTGTGTGTGTGTATTTGTGTATGTGTGAGAGAGAGAGAGACACTGTATGTATGGGTCTATGTGTGAGAGAGAGAGGTAGGGGTGTGTGAGTGTATATGAAGTTAACTTCCACAGGAAGCTTCCTCTACTGCGGGTGCATGGGGTGGGAAGGGTATGATAAAGCAGGGTTTTTCCTTTGGCAAAGTCACCATGGTCCTGCTGGGTACCACGGAGTTGTGGGAGGTACAGACCAGGCCGGCACGCGACGGGAGCTTGAGGACAGCAGACAGGTCACGGTGGGTGAGAGACCAGCAAGTGGGGCACAGATGTGTTTCCCCGACAGTCCACATATTCATAGCTCTGGAAGACCAGCTGCTCGGAACGGCTCAGGTAGGAATAGGTCAGGGTGCCCCTAGAGAGGAAAAGGAGGCTTTGGTAACTGTGTCTGGGAGGAAGAGGAAAGCCCTGGCCCTGCTCTGTTCTCTGGGGAGGGCTGGCTTCCTGTTTGTGTCATGGCTCCTGGGACAGCTGCCCCACCCAGGTCCCGGGCAGCTCCATGGGTGTCACATCAACAGCTCAGAAGCAAGGTGGACCCTAGAGGAAGGGCTGGACGTGCCACTATCAAGAGCCAACAGATTCATGGAGTCAGCTTGGATGACTTCCTTCCCACTAGGGGGAGCTGGAGTCAGAGGTGGGAGAGAGGGGCCTCCCTTGGTGGTCCAGTGGCTATGATTCTGAGCCTCCCATGCAGGGGACCCAGGTTCAATCCCTGGTCAGGGAACTAGAGTCCACATGTCACAACTAAAGATCCCGCATGCTTAACCTAAGACCCAGCAAAGCCAAAATAAGTAACTATTAAAAAAAAAAAAGAAGAAGTGAGAGAGGGGATACCAGGGCTTCAAATCCTACTTACTGGATGTACAAGAGCACATGGTGGACTTTGATTTCCAGCCAGGTACAGATTTTGCTGAGAAAGACAGAGAGGAAGAACACGGGACCACGTTTCACACTGAGCAGCCTGTCAGTTCAGAGGAGACCTGCAGTCCCAGGCCCCTGGCCTCCTTTTCATGGGGAGGGCAAGGACCCAGGCCACTCCCACCCCTTCCCACTCCCTCTGCCTAAGGTGAGCACATCACTCCCCCAACCCCCACTGGCTTGGCCCAGGCATGTGCTGGCCATTCCCTTAGTAGAAAACAGCGAGTCAGGCTGAAGAGCCCAAGTCATATATTGTAAAAGTGAAAGTGAAAGTCACTCAGTCGTGTCCACCTCTGCGGCCCCATGGGTTTATACAGTCCATGGCATTCTCCAGGCCAGAATACTGGAGTGGGTAGCCTTTCCCTTCTCCAGGGAATCTTCCCAACCTGGGGGTCGAACCCAGGTCTCCTGCATTGCAGGCAGATTCTTTACCAACTGAGCTACAAGGGAAGTCCCATATATTGTAAGGATTAACCCAATTCCAGCCTGGTTTTCATTTCAATCCCACTCCAAACAGGCAGATGCTGGGGGCCCTGAACACTTGCACACTGCAGTCTTGGCTATAAGCATGCAGGCTGAATGCTGGCTGCAGGGTTGCTAAGCAATCAAGAAATCTGGTGGGGATTCAAACTGGGTTTCCAACCAGGACGGAGGTGAGGGAGAAGAGATCAAGGGCTACTCACTATGTGTTTTCATCCCATATCTTGTTGGCCACTGCATAAAATATCTGTCAACCAAATGGTCATAGGGTTAGCCCCAACTGCAGCCGCCCCCTTCCCCCCACCACCTGTGTCCACACACTTGTGCGGTGTGGAGCTGGCCAGCGAGAGGGAGTCACCTGTTCAGTGGCTAAAGAGCCGATGTGGAGAAGGAGGCTGTGGGAGACCTGTCCCACCACGAGGGACAGGTGCAGAACCTCGATGGTCAGCTGGGTCACAGTGATAGGGCAGTAATTGTTATTGGAGATATTCAAGATACTCTGGGGAGAAAGACAGGGAAAGGGAGGGGTGAGAGTAACCATCCTTGGCAAGAAGAAGTCAAACAGTTTCAAAAGCCCCCAGCCTGATTGAGCCCCATCCCCAAGTGAGAGCTTCAGCTGCTGGGGCACCAGTGCCAGGAGCCTCTTGAAGGGGCTTTTAATGACACAGGGTCACTGTTAACTAAGACCGTAAAAGTGAAAGTGTTAGTCGCTCAGTCTTGTCCGACTCTTTGTGACCCATGGACTGTAGCCTGCCAGGCTCCTCCGTCCATGGAGTTCTCCAGGCAAGAATACTGGGACATTAAGCTGTCTCAGAAAGCAGTCTCACCTTGCAAGGCTCTTTCTGTTCCCCTGCCCACCCGGAAAGTCTCAGGCATACCACTCCCTAATACTGCTCTGGCCTCAATTCTAACCTCTCACAGTTCCAATCCTACACAATCTGTTAGGGGCTTCTCCCCAGGCTTCTGACATCCTCTGAGTGCCGTAAGATCCTTGGCTGCCTATGCCCAAGGTCAGAACACAGGACAAGGGCTTCAGAGGAGTGCTGCCTGGAAGGTGGGGTCGGAGCCCAGGGGCACAGGCGCCCACCCACCGTTATGTTGAGGTAGACATTGGCCTCATCAATGGCCACCGTGGAGGAGTTGAGGCCCACAGGCTGCACGGCGATTGTCCGGGGAAACAGGAAAAAGACGATGAGGGACGAGGTCACCAGACAGATGGACACTGCCAGGAACACGGAGAGTTTCCTGTGGGAAAGCAGGACCCGGGTAGGAAAGTGGAGAAGTCTGGACACAGAAGCAACCTGGCCAGGGGTGTTCAGATACTCTTCTCTGTACACAAGGCTCTCCTCTGAGTTCCCCTCACAACTGGACACTTAGCTCCTCAGGTGTGGAGGAGCCTGGAGTCAGGGGTGGCCCAGAGTGAGGAGAAGCACAGGACTGAGAAGTCAGCAGCTTGGTGTCCATCCCCAGCTCTCTGTACCCACTGGCCCAGTAACTCTGAACAACCCTTTTAAGCCCCAAGCCTCAGTTTCCTTGTCTATAAAATGGGAGATAATTCATTGTACCTACCTACCTCATACAATCTGTTATGGGCTAATGCAGGAAAAGCCACAAATCCCTGGTCCTGGTGCATAGTCAAAGGCTAAACCAATGCCAGCTATTGGCCAGCTATCACTGGAAGAAGTCCATATGAATTTTGAGAGTTCTGAATTTTAATGCTCATATTCAGAACCAGACATCATCTGTCCATCTAATTCAAAATTATAATACACATTAAAGAGACCGCACCTTGGTAGCACCTTCTAAGGGGCACTGCCAGATTTGGATTCTGATGCAGTGGTGGGGGAGGGCTGGGTGGTGGCTCCCAGATGGAAGCTGAGGACCCTGGGAGGAGGAGCTGCAGGGATTCATGTCAAATGACCCAGATGACAAACAGAGTCACAGGCCCCCACAGTGAAACTCAGGGCTGCCTCTGAGGTTCTGAAGGGTCCCAGGTCAGGGAGTAGCTGGCTTTCCATCTTTTCGGGGAAGAGAACAAGCAGGTCTGAACTGCCATAGCAGAGGAAGTTCTTAGGAAAAATCATTTCCCCAAACCAATGGCAATTAAACCAATGGCAACTCCCTCTATCCTGGAAGGACTTGCAGAGTCAAGAGGTCCTCTCTGTCTTCAAAAGGGAGCCATGCTTCTTGGAAGCAGTGATGCTTTGGATACTAACTGACCTCAGGTGGTATGCTGTGCCCTGAGATTCTTTAACTAGGAAAATCTGTGGAAACAGGGTGCTAATATGTCTGAGCCCAGTGAGGCTCAGGCTTTTGGAGGAGAACCAATGGAGAAAATTTAGTAGAGGAGGGCACATTGGGTGGGATGACAAAGAGGAATTGCCTCCACGGGCAATGAAGAGGGGCTTACGTGTGCCTGGGCTTCAGCCTCTGGTCCCCATAGGGGATAAGGGCCACCAGCTGCTTCTCTAGCTCTGTAGAGAGAAAGAGGATGAGGAGGGCCACGAAGTGTTCATGACAAGTTTCCTGTATCAGCCTGCAAGAAGCTCCCCTCCATCCCTGAGCAGTCTCAGAAGCACACTATCTCTGACCCAGGGCAGGACTGGGGACACTGGCTGTTGGCAGCTTAGTTTTGCCATTTCTCGAATGGAGGTGAGATTTTCATTGACATGGGTGAAGAATTTCTGCAAGTCATCACAAGTCAGAAAAGCCCAGTTTCTTTGGAGAAACTGGTAACTTCCTGAATCCTACGGCAGGGTTGCTAAGGAAGCAGAGAGGCTGGAAATCCCCTGGGGTTGGGTGGTACAACCAGGGCAGGAGGGAGGTCTCTGCAGAGAGCACAGGGAGGGTTAGAATCTCCCTGGACCAGCCTGAAACTGGGGGACTAGGAGCCCGATGACCTAACACCATCCAGGGAGACTCAGAGGGGCCTGGTGCTGGCCAGATGGCTGTTAAGAGCCTTTCCTGGATCCCAGGCTACTTCCAGAGCCTGCAGTTACTCACCTCGAGGAATCTCCCCACTGCCCTGGCAGGTGGGACAAGTTACAAAGCCAGCACCAGCAGCCCTTTCACAAGGCACACAGGAACAGAAAGGCTTGCTGTTGCCGGTGCTGGAGTAGCTGGCAGCCTTGCTGCCAAAGGCTGGGTCGGGGGGCAGGATCAATTTGTTCTCATCCTCCTGAGAGGCCAGCTGGGAGAACGTCTCACCCATTGTTCAGGGATATTTTTCACTGATGAAAAAAGAACAAAATTCAGTTAGTGTGGATGTTGGGTGTTACTATGGTTTTAGGCTTTCGAGATTGGCAAGGGGCCCCACCACAATTTCAGCAAGCTCAAGCCTAAGGAAGTGAAGGTACGGAAATTCAAGCAGTTCCCGTGGCTCCTAGATCACGAATCTCTGCATTTCAACTCCTCTCTTTATTGTAGGACAGCTCAATTCCGAGAGGGAAAAGCAAAGCAGAGGTTATTTCACTTTAAGGGACTTTCCTAAGTGAAAGCAGAGCACTTATTTTGTTCTGGAAAAGTTGCTGAGCTGTCACTGATTACCAAGGAAGGAAGTTAGATAGGGTTGGCTTGGGGGCAGCAGCCAGGAGAGTCCCTTCATCCTCTGAGACAAGACAATTCTGAAGATGTCTCTCCAGCACCCCGGGGCAGAAATGCCTGAGGTCTCCCAGCCTGGGTCTCCCAGCTTCCATTCCTGAACTTGGGCAGGTACTGCTGTAATAGGAAGGTAAGGATTCTTCGGAACAAGAAAGAAAAATGAAGCTAGACTGGTCACAGATGTGGCTTAAAAAACCCCTAAAAAGGTCGTGGAAGGGAGCATAAACTTCTATGTTGCTTTCTAAGGTGGGATGGGAAAGAATGTCTGGGGGAGGGGCAACGTCTGGGTCAGTCCTTTACAAGGAAGAACCGAGGCTAAAAATCTAGATTCTCAAAAGAGTGGAGTCAAATGAGTGGGCATCGTGAGCTGAACTCTGACCTTCTGGGCTAAAATAAAGGTAGCCTCACCTGGCTTAGGTCTGAGATCCCGGGCTCCTCTCAGCTGCGAGGACTTTTGGAGATTTTTGGAGTACGTCTTTGGGGACGAGAGCCTTTAGGGAAGGGTGGCTCCAGAGTCCTGGGGGGTGGGGGTGAATGCCCCGTTGGGGCAGGTGGGGAGCCGCGACTGTGGCCTACCCATAGCCTCAGCTGCTTCACGCCCTACTCTGAAGCTGGGCCTGGACTGAGAGGCCAAGATTTCATCGAAAGAGGATTTTAAGTCCCATCAGACACCCCGAGAGGCCGTTAGTAGAGTTCGGTACCTGCGTGTTGCGCTAGGAGGAGGCGGCACAGGAGGGGCCTGGGCCCTTGCCTCCCAAAGGAAAAGTAAAGGAATTTCTCAAAGCGCCTTACCCTCGGGCGACCGCGGCGACAGAAACGCCTGCAAAGTAGAACCGAAACTGCGGGAGCCGGGGTCTCGCCCCAAGCTTTGATTCAAAGCCTTGGGAAGCTCCGCCTCGGCTCCTCCGAACCCGCCCCCAGGGCCCGCCCCCTCCCTCCCAGGGCCCGCCCCCTCCCTCCCAGGGCCCGCCTCCCTCAACACAGCGGCCAGAACGTTTCTCAGCTCTTCAAGGGCCATGCGAGGTACTGGACGAAGGTACCAGCCAGGGAAGGTAAGAGTTTCAAAGTTTATTTCACCATTCTTTAAGCGGTTACGTACAAGTACAATGGGACAGACGACTGGACCCTTACAATACGACTCAGATGGTCAAGACAGATCCCGTCCCAAATCAACTCAATTAATTACACACAACCGGCTGCTCAGCCTCTACCCAGACGGCCCCATAAAAACGTTTTAAATAACGAACAGCCTGGTTGGCTTGCAGTCTGAATCCTGGCCTATTTAACAGCATTGAAAGGTTATACTGTAAATAAACATCATTATGGCTAATGATTAAATCATCATTCACTGTAATACCAACCAGGTTATATAATACTATTTTATTATCCCTCCCCCTTCGGGCTGGGGGGTCAGATTTCTTTTCTGCAAGCAATTTTTATGACTAAAATCTTTAGTGTTTTTTGTTACCTCTTTACCAGCTGTACCCAAGACTCCCTTCTATAAACGGAGTGAGGACTTTGGACCTTTGTAAGCAAGCTCTTTCCCACTCACTTACCCTGGGGTTAAATTAACCAAAACTTTTTTCTGTGAGTTTGCTCCCCATCCAAGTTTTGTAAAATATCAGCCTCTTTTTCTTGTTCTAAGTTCTCTTGAACAGATTTCAAACATTCAAGAGACATTCAGGACTTCCTGAATCCCATTTCAAAGCCTCACACCCACTTATTTGCCCGCTCCTGAATTTTACTGATATTCACATAATAAAGTTCAGTTTTCTCATGTTTCTATACAGCCCTTGCCCACTCTACTGTAAATAAGACCTGCCCCCTGACATAAAGAAAAAAGTTAACTGTTAAATTTACTTTTTCCTTTAATAGAAGTTTTTTTCTTCTTTATAGGATTAGCAAAATATTTCACACTACCTAAACTTTTTCCCTTAAATAAAATACAAATGTATGCAAAATTGCTACAATAGACACTGTTCAACAGGTGCTGGTGGGTTATTTAGCACACTCCCCGCTCCTTACTCAGAAGTGCAGAGACGTGGAAGGTGGATATACTTCAACGCATCAGTGGGGTCTTTAGAAAACAACAGTGCTGATTACCGAGACTTGCAGAGAAGTGACTTTCTACTTGAAAAGGGAAGAGTAACAAAATTCCTATCACATTCTAGGTGTCATTTTAATACCACATAGCTATTTAAGCTTGGGATAGGTTAAGAGAAATTATGAGAATAATTCTGGAAAACAACTTGCAAGGTTAATTCCTTTTAAAAACTGACAACAGATATCCTCATAAAAACATCCATGTTAAGCAAAGAAAAATACTCAACTTCAATACAAGCAGAAAGAAAAATGGTTCTATAGGAAGTTTAAGTTATACTCTTCAGTGCACTAAAACAGAGAAAGGAGCTTTATCCAAATCAATTGAAAAATGCTCTTGCTACAATTCACCTAATGTCTACGGTGAAAATTTAAGTTCTGGTTTTTGATTTGCTCCAAAAAATACTGCAATGCAGGTACTGTCTTGATAATTCAATGGTGGGCTCTTATTATAGATTCATCAGATTAAAAAATTAGCAAGGGTCTCTACCCCATGCCCCAACAGAATAAAGATCATCTCTGAGCAGCAGGCAAAGTTATTTAATACGAGGTCACTCCTCAGTAGCGGTGGCTATACCAATCGTTGTTGTTGACCTGAAGGAGTTCTGTCACCACTTGCAGGATGTTGTAATTGTGTTTCTTGAGCAGCCTTAGGTTCAACTGCCTGTCACAGAATCCCATTTCAAAGAGATGGGCCATCAGCGCTGCTGTCTGATCTTCAGAAACTACTGGCTGTGTAGAGTCAAGAAAAGCAGAAAAACAGTTTCTGTAAAAATCTGTATTATTTTGTTGAGTAATTCTAATCTTTCCAGATTTATTCAAAACACTAGTTAATTAGGTGCAAGACTATGACACTCCTGTCTACCCAACACCAATGGGTCTTCTGAGGGGATAAGAAGGACTGGGAAAACTCTATTTTGGATGAGGTATGTTTGTATCCCAAACCAGGTAACAAATGAACTGTCTTTAGAACTAGATGAAGAGATGCAAACACACTCTGGAAACCCTGTGAAGATAAAGGTGATCATGATGATGGGCCAAGGAGAAGAAGAGCTGTTACTGGAAAAGAGTCTGGGAAATTTACTCAGATACGCAGAGGAGCCAGACCAGGAACTGCTCAGGAAATGACATCCTGGGCAACCTTCTTGGCTTTTTTTTTTTTTTAAATAAAGAATAGCAATTTTTTATTGCTAATTTACTTAATCTTTTACTTTTACTTTCCTCTTTGGGCCAAGCCCTGTGGTGAACTCATAACCTTCCTAAATCCTCTGAACACTTGGAACACCCTCTTATCATTTACTTAACAGCTGTGTTGAGTACCAATTTTCTTACTTAAAAAAAAAAAAATGGAAACACAGGTTAGCTAGTATTTTGCAGGGTGGTTGAGTGGATTAAAGCTCAACATTCAGAAAACTAAGATCATAGCATCCAGGCCCATCACTTTATGGCAAATACATGGGCAAGCAGAGGAAACTGTGAGAGACTTTATTTTTTTGGGCTCCAAAATCACTGCAGATGGTGACTGCAGCCATGAAATTAAAAGCTGCTTACTCCTTGGAAGGAGTTATGACCAACCTAGACAGCATATTAAAAAGTAGAGACATTACTTTGCCAACAAAGGTCCGTCTAGTCAAGGCTATGGTTTTTCTAGTAGTCATGTATGGATGTGAGAGTTGGACTATAAAGAAAGCTGAATGCTGAAGAATTGATGCTTTTGAACTGTGGTGTTGGAGAAGACTCTTGAGAGTCCCTTGGACTGCAAGGAGATCCAACCAGTCCATCCTAATGTTCACTGGAAAGACTGATATTGAAGCTGAAACTCCAATACTTTGGCCACCTGATGCGAAGAACTGACTCATTTGAATGGACCCTGATGCTGGGAAAGATTGAAGGAGGGAAGAGAAGGGGACGGAAGAGGATGAGATGGTTGGATGGCATCACCGACTCAATGGACAGGAGTTTGAGTAAACTCCGGGAGTTGGTGATGGACAGAGAGGCCTGGCGTGCTACAGTTCATGGGGTCACCAAGCTCCGGACACAACTGAGTGACTGAACTGAACTGAATGGATTAAGGTAAGAAAGGATGTCATTGTACTGAGCACTGTCTCTGGTATTTCTCTCTTCTACGGTTCCCTTCTATTTCAGAGTAAGTTATCCATTCTCCTTTCCAGGTTAATCCTTCTGTATGAACTTTACTTTGTATCTCATTACCTCTCGTCACCTCGGAAATATTTTTCTACTAATTGATCTCTCTTATTTTGATTGTTAACCTCCTTTGCTACTGGCTCACCTTTAAAGATGTCTCCCTCTGCCTTACATGTCCCAGCTTTCACTCTCCTTTTCCCTTTGTACAGTCCAGCTGTTTGAAAGTGAGGCACAGCTGTACTCTTAAAGTCCTCTCTGCTCCGTCACACTCCTCTACAGCACCTGACACTGCTGGCCATGCCCTCCTCGTTAAAACTCCCTTCCCTTCCTCCTCCTCCTCCTCGTTCTCTGTCTTCTATGCAGAGCCCTCCTTCTTTCCATGATCCTTAGAGACTGCTCCTTCCTTTATCCATTCTTCCTGGAAAATTTTATCTAATCTGTGGCTCCTGTTATATCTTGTACATAAATGACTTCATTTCCAGGCCAAACTTCTTTTCTCTGTAATTCAAATGTATAAATCCAACTATACTCTGGATAACTTGACCTGGGTGTCTCAAATTCAACACCACCCCAATTCACCCTGATTTTCTTTGCCTTCTGCCCAAATATACCCTTTTTATATATCCTCTCTTAATAAATGGTACACTGACTACCTAAACCAGAAACTTTTATCCTTGACTTCTTTCTAGCCTTATGGCCTCCAAGTTCTGCCATTTCTATTTCTCTTCTATCCTTCTTTTTTTCTTATGTGTGGATTCTCAGCTGGATTTCTTAAGGCTCCCTCACACCTCCGCACTATGGAGGAGTGGAGTGATTTTACAAAGAACAAATCTGATCATGTTAATTATTTCCTTAAAATCCTTCAGAGGTTGCCCACGGGGCCTAAAATAAAATCCAAATCACTTAACACAGCATCCCACCAACATCACTGGTCTTTTCTCTTCTTAGAACAAATTTACCTTCCAGGTTCACATTTCCAGATCTCTTTACTGGCTAATCTATGTCTACCCTTTCTGACCCTGACTCCCGGCAAACACTTTTAGGATGACTTTAGGCATCATCTACCAGGAAGCCTTCCTGCGCTGCACTGTGGGGCCAATATCAGACTGAGGTGTTCCACTGGTCTGAGAAAACTTGTGTAGTACCTTACACTGCACAGTAAATGTGTGTGTCTTTTTTAATTAGATGAAAGATTCCTTAAATTCTGTAGTGCTTTGCAATTTTCAAAAGTTTCATAGACAAATGTCTGTTTACTTCTTGTTTCCCCACTTTGGGCAGGAACTGGTGTCTGATTCCTCTTGTAGCACTAGCGCCTGGGAGAGCTCCACACACATACTAGATCTGCAACAAACATTAGGTCTTTTTTCTTTCCTCCCTTAACTTAGCCAAAGTCATATAAGTGGAAAGTGGCCAAGTCTTTGTGTGTTAATCAAACACTAAGTTTTGGTGATACATATATCCAATGGAATTAATGATAAAAAGGAACGAATTTGAGGCAGTTCTATAGAGATGGATGAAACTAGAGCCTGTTATCCAGAGTGAAGTAAGTCAGAAAGAGGAAAACAAATATCGTATATTAACACATATATGTGGAATCTAGAAAGATGGTACTGATGAACCTATTTGTGGGGTAGGAATAGAGACGAAGACATAGAGAACAGACTTGTGGAAGCAGAGGGTGAGACAAATTGAGAGAGCAGCATTGAAACATATTCGTTATCATGTGTAAGAGACATACATAGATAGTGGGAAGTTCCTGTATAGCACAGGGAGTTCAACCTAGTGTGACAACCTAGAGGGGTAGGACGGGGTGGGGGAATGGGAGGGAGGTTCAGGAGAGGAGACATACGTGTACTCATGGCTGATTCTCGGCTGCTATACAGCAGAATCCAACACACACTGTAAAGCGATTATCCTCCAATTAAAAGAAGACTAAACTTAAAGCTCATGCTTTCTGTGATGACATGTGACTCTCTCCAGCCCAGGCAGATATCATTGTTTTCACTAGTGACTTAGATTTGGTTCAGGAAAATAAAACATACACTGACCTGTGCGGTGACTGGTGGTCCAGCAAACAAGGCCTTGTATGCAGAGGCAGCAACGGACAAAGCCCCCTTCACCAGTCCTCCAGCAATGCTGTTCCCGTGGTGGTGGTGGTGGTGCCTGAGGAGGAAAGCCAAATTATCTCCCTAAGAAACACTAATTATTATCTTCCTACAAGATAATCTGGGCTCTCATCTGGGAAAGTAAATGAGATTTCCTGGAGAAAAAAAAATCAAATGTAAAATGAGTGTGTGACTGTTTTCCTATCAGTTTTATAGTTACAAATTTAGGTCCAATGTAGGGCTCAGTTCTTACTGCTCTAAGATATGGGCACTGCAGAAAACATGTCACTCTTTCATGCCAGCTTTCAGCCCCAGTGGAAAATTAATGTGGTCAAGGGCACAGTGAGGTACTGGCAATGTATCTGCTCAGTTACCATCTCAGAGGAAACACCTTCCAAAAGAAGGTGATTTTCTGAACACTGTATACGGGGAGGGGCCCAACTTAACACTGCCTTGAGATGACTAGGAGTAGAGAGGCAGGTTTGTCTAAGAACAAGTTACGAGACGCACAAGGGGCTGGACCTTCCTGCCCTCCTCTGTTACTAAGCAGGAACTGAACCTAAGGGCACTTCTTCCTGGTCTGAACTGGGAACCCTCTTAAACATCAGTGTTAGCCCTCTGCTCAGGGTTGCTCAGAAATAAGAACAAGAAGGGATGATGGCTCTCCTCCGTCACTCTCAGGAGGGGGCACGTGCTCTGAGATGCTCGTGTAAGCAGGGTAACACTGGGACATCCACCTGCTTCTGAAGGAGAGGCTGCACAGGCAAGGTCCAGTTACCTTGAGTGGTCATAGCTCTTCGGTCTGCTGTTTACAAGTCCTGATGAGCCTCTGAGCTCTAAAAGCAAAAGAGCTGTTGGTTAGATGCAGCATCTAGAAATGCCTGGGATTTCCTAACTCCCAGCAGGGCTATTTCTGAGGCAGCTAACAATCTGATCACAACATTTCAAGCCTTTATTTTTTTGGCTGCACCACATGCCATGTGGGCTCTTAATTCCTTGATCAGAAATTCAACCTATGCCCCCTGCATTGGATGCAGAGTCTTAAATCATTGGGCCGCCAGGGAAGTCCAGGCTTTGTTTTTTGAGGAAGAGAGGGAAGCCACTTTGAGGGTCTACTCACAACTCCAAAGTGCTATTCTCTTTATTTTGTAGATGAGCAAACAGACCTTCAGGTATTATCAACCTGCTGAACCACTTCAAGGTTACACAGTGAGGAAAGGTAGAGCTGGGCCTGAACCTAGACCGGGCTGGTTCCAAAACCTGTGTTCTTTCTACTACAGCACAAAGCCAGCTTCTATGGGGTCTCGTCTAATAAATATTAAGCTAGAAGATAGAATAAAAAGAGTAGGAGGGAGGAACACAGAAAAAGTCAAAGGGCAAGTTTCGCAAAACTGCCAAGAACCAAAGAGTGCCTACGTATACCTGGTTTCCATGAGAAAAGAGCACAGAGAGAAAGCTCAGGTAGGTCATTACCTCCTCTGATCTGACCAGGGACTGAAGAAACTTCTGGTACGGTAACTGGTAAATCCACTCCTGGGGAGCCATGATGCTGTGCACAGGGAGGACTCCTTTCGGAAAGACACAACATTGAAAGCGAGTTGAGAAGGCACCTCTGGTAACAGTGGAGAAACAGCAAACGGGCACAGCAGGGATAGATTATCTACAGAGGCTTCACACTGCTGATCCAGAGCACATGTCTGCATCTAGGGATCAGGTGGGAAGGGCTCACTCTTCTGTTTTCCTCTTCGGCCACAGTCAAGCTAGAAAGACTGGCTGCAGTCTGGTCACTCCCCTGCTAATTACTCAGCTAATTAAGGTTAACTAAAGCAAGTGTTTCTTTAAATACAGGATCCACAAATACTGGGAAGTACAACTTTTATTCATCAGACTTTACTATGGGAAATCGCCATTTCCCCCGCTGACAGAGAAATAGGTTTTGAGATCAGGTTGAGTCCTCTCTTTATTTCACCTCTGGAGGACAGCCCAGCAGAGTGGGGTACAGATGGTACCTGGGCAGCTGTGGCGGAGGCCCCACCACCTCTGGGGTTAGGGGCACTGTGTCCAGAGTCTGTGAGGTCATAAGGATGTCACTGATGCTGTGCCCTTGTGGCTGGCTCTCCCCTCCAGGGGGTCTCTCCCCAGCTTCGACTGGTTCCTGCCCAGCCTCAATCCCAGGCTCGCCTTCAGCCCCTCGCTCCAGGCCTGGCTGTGAGAGCGCAGAGCTGTACATGGAGTCCCCCAGGGGGCGGCTGGTGTCAAAGCACTCAGGCAGGATGATGATATAGTCCTCTGAAGAAGCAGAGGACTGACTCCGAACTTCATCTTTGAGCTCATCCTCTTCCTCCACAACAGCCTCTTCTTCAGCAATCTGGACAATCTCCTCCCTCTCGTCTGCAAGTGGTCCCTCTTCAGGTGAGGCAAATTTCACTAAAGGGTGAAAGCATCCAATTTTAAGGTACAAGCTAAGAACAGTCCCTCGTGTTTACTCTACCCTATACCAAGCCTTGTGGTTCATGAGCTATAATTATGAAAGCCAGAGGAGAGGGACAAACCAGAGGGCCACATTCAAAGTCTGAAGCTGCAAAGAACCAAAGTTCATAAAAACAAGGTCAGCAGAAGCTTCTGAGTAACACTATGAACCTTAAAACAAGGAGGCCCCTTTTCTTTTCCCCTTTAGGGGACAGTTAACGTAACTGTCAGAGCTACCCCAAAGACTATAAATTCATGGAATTCTCCAGGCCAGAATACTGGAGTGGGTGGCCTTTCCCTTATTCCAGGGGATCTTCCCAACCCAGGGACTGAATCCAGGTCTCCCACACTGCAGGTGGATCCTTTACCAGCTGAGCCACAAGGGAAGACCAAGCATACTGGAGTGGGTAGTCTATCCCTTCTCCAGTGGATCTTCCCAACCTAGGAATCGAACCGGGGTCTCCTGCATTGCAGGCAGATTCTTTACCAACTGAGCTATCAGGGAAGCCCCTAACATACTGGGATGGTTTCAAATCGAAACTGCTAAACTAGCTAACAGTGCTATGAGAAGAGAAAACATATGGTGCTAAATACCACAGGACTGTATAACTACTTTTGACTCCTTCCCTCTTCTTCTTTGCAAAGTAACAAGTAGTCATGACAGAAAACTGGCAAAACATGGATGAGTTAAGAAAAAAAAACAACAACAAACTACCGATAATCTTACTGAGACAACTACTGTGAACATTTTGGTATAAGTCCTTCTAGACTTTGTTTAGACTTTTTTTGTAATCCATTTGTACTCAAGTGTGTGTGTGGAAATACATATATATATTTTAAATACATAGGTTTAAAATTCGAGTGTTTGGATAGTACCTGAAATACATGAAATTGGTTCTGCCTATCTGACCTCTAGAAATTCTGCCACAAAGAAATTTATTACAGCAGAATTTAACTCTGAGAAACTTCAGCTTGGTGCTGCTGCTTCTGCCCACTATTTCCTGACTGCTGCCCTTGGAGAAATGAGACAACTCAGCTGAGGGGAGGGTTCTCTGCTGAGGGGCTCTGTCCACTTACAAGAAGACTCTTTACTGCAGAACCCAGGCAGCACAGTTGGCTGCTGTTCCTCTGTGGTGTGCAGCTGTAATTCTGCCCCTGGGAAAGTGCAAAAATGAATTACGGAAGCTGCTTTGCTCCTGATGCACATGTAGAGTCTAAATGAACAACCATGACGCAAACTCTAACAAAGATTCCCCTGTCTCCACTCTCAGTAGAGACAAGCACTTCTACCTGCTCAGATCTGGCAACCACAAGTCAGGTGTCACTCCAATGGGGAGGTGGGATGGGGTGGGGTCTAGGAATTCTAGGGACACTCACTCTGCAGGGACTTCTGTCTGCAAGGTGGTTTGTGATCCGGGGCAGCATCCAACGTAAGGGATCGGATGACAGTCTCACACACAAACTGGGTCCCACTCAAATCATCTTCTGGTTCCTCCACGGAAGAAATGTTCTCGGCCTTCTTCTTTACTGACACTGTGGAATCTGGAAAGGACAGAACCTTTGTCTGTACTTGGTGTTTAAAGTGTTACAGAGCTTTCTCCAATCATGTCCCCATGCTGATACGATGCCAAGGAATAGCTGCTGTCTGTGCTATGTGAAGGTAAGGAGACCTCAAAAAGTCAGATTCTATGGAAAACCCATTCACACACCAAGGTAAGGTTAGTAGAAGGTATGGATAACAACAGGGTGTGGTATGGAAGGGGAGGTTGCAAATGCTTTATAAATATTTAACCCCTTACCAGGAAGTGCTTTAAATCCCGCCCCTTCACTCTCTTCCTGTATCTGCCCCAAGCCTGGCTTCTCTATTAAAGGACTGTCATGTGGCAGAGGAGACATGCAGGGAGTCATATCTGGAGAATGAAGATAGGAGAACCATCAACCAAGAAAAAGCATTGCATCATCAATACTCAGTGTCCAGAAGCAGCAGCTTCTAGGTTTCCTGCCTCCTGCAGAGCTAAACTAAATCCAGGTACGCTTCAAGGCCTGTTGTAAAGAATTTCTCCAGGCCATCAGGTACACAAGTATCTCAGATAGGTCAATCAACACAGGAAGGATCATAAACAGTTGTTTGGCTTTGGAAGACCATGGCCAAGACACAGAACCATGAATGTAAAGTAACAAAAGGACACAAACACCTAGAGAGAAATGGAGAAGGTCCCTTTATGGGGGTAAACTCTGTACAAACTTGTATTGTTGCCTCTGACAGAAACAGGGAAATGGGCCCATGGGTGCAGTTTTAATATCACATTGTGGGAGAAATCCTTGCCTACTAATATCTCAGAATGACATAATAACTACCAGAGTCAGGGGGGCAGTACTATTGGGCCTGTTAATAAACAAGGTGGACAAAGTGACATTCTTACCCACAGGAGTGTTGTGGGGCACTCTCTCCAACTCTTGGACAATATTTATATCCAACAGCTCAAAGGACAGCAGATCCTTAAAAAAAAAAAGGCGGGGGGCATGTTAGGCTACTTGCAACACATATAAGAGCCATGTTTTGTGTTAAAGGCTACTGAGCTCCACATCATCCTAGATTCAACTCTGTTCAAATTCATGTCTCATTTCAGTCAAGTGGGAACAAGAAGAGTTAAATGGGAACCAAACATTCAAATAGCCACTGGGAAGAGAGAGAGCGGATGCAGTGGGGGTGAAGGTGAACCAGTTAGGCAGAAAGAAGAGGCAACGAAGGGGAAGTTGTGGGAAGCACAAGATAAGTTCCCAATTCAAAGAGGAAACATTTAGTTTAGAAACTTGCTTCCACTGGGGATGATCTTGCCATCCAATGCATCTCACTAGATTAGAGTGGGTCTATCTCTAACTTCCCGGGCAAAACTGACAGCTCTACCAGCTTCCCTTCAACAAGTTAAGAACTTGTTCCCCAGGGCTTTCTGTCCCTTCCCCTCAAAATGCTCAGTCTTCCACCTGGGCAGTCAGAAGGTCCACAGATGGGATGTAGAGCTCTCTCTTGCTGGCAGCATGCTTTGCCTTCTGTGGGATGCGAGCTCCTGTCCCTTCTGTCTGCTCAGTTGTTTCACCAGGCAGAATTTCTTCTTTAGCCAGAAAAGCTTCCTATGGAGAGAAACCATTGGGACACATTTTTGGCCCTCAACAGAACTCAAAAAGCAAGTTGATGGCTGCCTCCCTAAAATCAAATGCACTGTATGTAGTAAAACTTTTTGTTTTAATTTCACACTTTTCTATGAAAAAGCTGCAAAAAGAGTACAGAGAGTTTACTAATTACCCCCCTTCATCTAGCTTCCCTAATGACAGTAACTTAGATTAACCATAATAACAATAGTCAAAACCAGGACATTATCACTGGGTAACTTAAATTTAAGCAGTAAATAGGGAAGTTGCCCTAAAACAACATGCACAGGACTTCCCTGGTGGTCTGCTGGTTAAGAATCCACCTGCCAATACAGGGGACACAGGTATGACCCCTGGTCTGGGAAGAACCCGTGTGCTGTGAAGCACTACGCTGGCGCTCCACAACAAGAGAAGCCACTGCAGTGAGGAGCCTGTGCACCGCGATGAAGAGCAGCCCCCGCTCACTATACTAGTGAAAGCCTGTGCAGCATCGATGAGCCAGTGCAGCCAAATATAAATAAATAGAACAACAACAACAAAATCAAAAAGAAACTGCACCAAGTAACAACCAGGGTTAAGTACTGAAGGACACACAAACAAAGCCCCAGAAGACTACACCCAATATAAGCAAACTGATATGTTCGAGAGGAGGGGAGAAGTTGGCCTTTCCAGGTTTCTGGGGGATCCACCAGCTGAGAACAGGCCCTTCCAATGCTCACCTCTTCCTGGCAGGTGAGATCATCACCTCTGCTTGAGCTGATCATGCTCTTTTCATTGTTATCCAGGCTCTCTGTGGAGGGGAAAGGATCCACTATGATGCTGCACCAGACCCGAGGCCCGAACTGCTGGCCTTTGTGAGAAAGACGCCAATGGGAAGTGTATGTTCCCTCCAAGGTTGGGGCAATGAACTCCACAGACACGACTCCCACATGGCCAGCCTTTAGGCAGGGAACCAAAACATCCTTCTTTTCAGTAGAAGCCAAAGTCAGGTTTCCCCACATGAACTTGAGCTGAAAAGAATAGTAACAGGAGAAAGAAAGTTTGTCAGTTAAACACTCTGCCATCTCAGTCACTTCACATTCACACTGTGTGGGGAAAACTACCTTTGTGTCTGTGCTCCACTTGACATTTCCTGTATTTTTCATCCTCCAGTGTTTGATAAACTTGGTTCCTGGCTGGAGGTGAGTCCCATCAGGCAAATTCTCGTCCACAAATGCGGCACTGAGTGTCGGCATAACTGGGGCACAGGGTTGCAGAGGGAGCCTGGACAGAAGTTTAGATTTTAATTACTTGTGTTGGGTGTGATGTATTCTGAATATCCAATATGTGGTTCAATATGCAGACCATGACCCTGGAGGGCATACTAGTGCATTTGCTTTATAATGGGAATTCCCTTACAGTCCAGTGGTTAGAATTGTTGCTTTCACTGCTGAGGGCCTGGGTTTGATCCCTGGTCTGGGAACTAAGACCTCGCAAGCTTCATGTGGTGCAGCCAAAAAACCCTCCAACAACAAGAACAAACTCTTAACATTTTTTAAGAAAACAAGCTGACCCAAGGAATTCCCTGGCAGTCTAGTGGTTAGGACTCCATGCTTCCACTGTAGGGAGTACAGGTCTGATCACTGGTCAGTGGACTAAGATCCTACCTGCCACATGGCACAGCTGAAAGAATAAAGCAAGGGGACCTGATTCCTAAGTTAAAACACTATGGTGAGGATAACTGAAAGGGTCCATAAATACCACAACTAGAGAGCTGGGCTCTTAAAACATTTGCTCCTTTTGCTTCAAACCCAGACTGCCTCCAGTGAAGAGAGATCACACCAGTTTCTGAACCTTACTGGTTTCTGTTTTTCTGAATAAGGCAACAAAGTAAGTGTCAAAGATAACTAGCAAACCACCCTTTAAGAACACTAAGATCAGAAAATGGGAAGTTTTAAGGGTTTGAGTGCTAGGAGTTAGCTATAATAACTAAGACAGAATTTGGCTTAAGTTCCAGTTTTAGAGGGCTGGACCTGAAGCTCTGGCTCCCCCCCCCCGGCCCTGGGCTTACATCGGGGTGTTTGACTGCAGCAGGCTCTCGGGTCGGCCCAAAGGAGACTTGGGGCTCTGCAGCCCATGAAGTGAATTCCATAGATGAATCTTCCTGTGGAGTTTAAGCTGCTTCTTAAGTTCCTTGACCTCTGCTTTACGCTGTTTCTTCTCAGCCCGCAATCTTTGCTTTTCTGCTTTAAGAAAGTTCTTATCAACTTGCTTCTGGAGCCTGTGAGATTAAAAAAAAAAAGTCTTAAAAAACAAATCTCACAAATAAACCTTGAAGCTATTCTGAGCCACCTGTGGTCTTCATCAGCATCTGCTTCTAGTTTAGCTTCTTAATTTCTTTCCACAGTTCTGGTTTCCATCTCATTAGCTCCAGATAATTATCCCTGTCACTGTACATCAACTGGAAAGGAGCTGGAACTAAGGAGACTCTTTGGTCTTTTTTTTGGCTGTGCCACATGGCTCGTGGGAGCTCAGTTCTTCAACCAGGGATCAAACCTGTGTTCCCTGCAATGGATGCGCAGAGTCCTAACCACTGGATGGACTGTAAGGGAAGTCCCAGAAGACTATTTAGTTTTGTGATCCCACCCTGTCACCAAAACCAAAAAGCCAACCAGAGAACAAACACCCTATATATATATAGTTTTACCTGGCCTGTTCCAAAGCAGCAGGAAGGCGAGGAGTAGACAACCTCGAGTGAGAAAACGGTTCAGAGGAACCCATAACCGGTCTCCGCAACTTCAGCAGGACATGGTTGGAGTCATGGGCATATGGCCCTGATTCACAATCTTCGCAGATATTGTAGGATGGGCAGAGGCTGTGAGGAAAGGAATGGCACAGTGGGAAGTACCTGAGGTCAGGAGATATGGACCCAGGCTTCCATGTATTTGCTCTATCACCACTGAGGTGGGAACCTGAGTATGCCACCCACACATGCCATGTCTCAATCCTCATGAATAAAATGAAGATATTAACACTTCACCTATACCTATTTCAAAGGACACTCTATGGGAGGAAAGATATGAAAGAGTTTGGAATAGGGAGACAACCTTTGAGGATCCAATTTTGTTTTGAGGAACTTAATTTTGTCTGGCTCTCTCAATTCAAATGTATACCTGAACACAGCAATCTAATGACTCACTCTTCAAATAGTTATCTTCTCTTGTGGATGAAGAGTAGCTTGTTTTCAATACAGAGCTGCTGTGTCTGATGCTCAGAGTAAGTACACCCTTTACCCCCCAGAACATTAGAACCTCCAGCTCTGTGGTCTACTAAGGGGTGTTCATTCCCAAGCTACTGCTTTACCTGCACTGGTAGCGCACACCCATGATACTCCTTTGGCAGCTGCTGCAAGCAATATGCCAGCTGAACTGGTTTTCTGGCAAAAACAGAGTCTCCTCTGAAACAGGCATTGAAACTTCTGAGGGACATGAACCTAAGGATGGATTCTGGAGGACAAGCTTCTCGCGTAATTTCTGTTCAAGCTTTTCAACCGTTTCTTTAACCACTTGTTCTCTGAACTAGAATACAGAAAAGGTGGTGTGGGGTGGGGGGGAATTCTCTCAGTTCCAAGACTGGAAAAACGCATGAAAATATAAAATAAACCTGAAACCTCACCATCTCTGGTATAAGAACACAATAATCAGATAATAGATACAGAATGAATGGACAGAAACATAGCCAAAAAAAGGTCTAATCCTTCCACAGCTAAAGTGGCTTCAAAATAAATATCAAGAAGCCCTTTGATGAGTAAATTTCTAACGCTTCCTTCTCAAGCACAGAAATTTGTCTCTTTCCCTTACATCCTTAAACTCCCCCCTTTTCTAGTACATCACTGCAAAGGCCAGGAACTTTCTTGACTGGAAAGTTTGGAAGTTGGAAAGTTGTAGTTTGGAAATTACTAGCTACCATTCTTCGTTCACCTGTACCAGAGGCAGCAGCCCTCTGGAGCTAGCTTTCTATTTCTTCAACAATCCATCTTTGCCAACACTGCTGCTAAACCCAAGCTAGAAAGAACACTCACTGTCTCTAGGTAGCTTGTGAACCAGTCAGGGGGCTTGTCTTGAGGCTGGTCTGGATTACGTGGAGCAGGTGGAAGCTGCTGCAAGTAAACACAAATCCAAGATACTTTTTTTCTTCTGTTTAAAGTAATTGTCCTACAATGTATCATTTTGAGGTTTCTTTTGTCAAATAATATTAACATATAGCTTTAAAAAGTGAGCATGAAAAAGTTTAAGAAAAATGTCACCCTATTCATGGTCCTCTCCAGAAGTAACTACTGTTACCAGTTCAAAAAGTCAGACAGAGAGGGTCACAATTAACTCCCAAACCTCTGAAGAACAGCTCAAATCTTAGACCAGAGACAATGAAAAACAGGTCAGAAAAATCATAGACAGGTCGTTCCCTTTGTACCTGTGTTGCAGGATCCTCTGGGGTCTTCATGTCTGACCCCAAGACTCTCACCAGTGAAGAATAATGTGCAAGTGGCTTCTTTCCTGTCCTAGCAACTGGTCGTTTTTCTGTTCCATTAGGGGGTGGGGCTTCTTCGACAACACGACAGCCTTCATGGACTTGCATCTGCAACTGGTTTCCCTGCTTAACTGCCATCTGAGAGCAGAAGTTATGAAATAAAAACAATATTATGTGATTCTTTTCCTAAATAAAAATTCAAAGACACAAAAACAGAAAGGGTATGGGAACATTTGCTGGAAAATATCACAATTTATGCTTCTTTGTATATCTGTAATATTTTTTTAATATTCTTTCATCTTAGAGAGAGGTAAACTGCTGATTTCCAAGACTATACCTATTCCTCAAAATGGTTTCTTTCTTTTTTGGGGGTGGGGGAAGCGTTTTTTCAAACTTTTTTATTATGAAAAATTTCAAACATACACAAAAGTAGGAGTAGTATAATAAATCCCCAAGGATTCATGCTTTTTTAAATTAAGTCAAATGACAAATATGCTAATACTCAGCCTGCTGCTTCTTTGCCAAGAATGTTAACTAGGAATGGTTTTGTTAAAAAACAAAGTTTTTAGTGTAGCTCTTCATTAGGTGAGATGTTTTAATTAATTGGGTTTGATTTTTAAAAATTTAAGTGTAACTGACATAACATTAGTTTCAGGTGGACAACATAATGATCTGACATTGGTATACATTGTGAAATGATCACCACCTTTGTCCAGTTACAATCTGTTAACTGGTTTATAATGTAGGACTCCATTTACAGATTCTAGTCTCAACTTTACAAAAGTCAATTCTAAGACTCAGAAAAGTTAAACTTACATCCCATAGTTCACCACCTTTGTCCAGTTACAATCTGTTAACTGGTTTATAATGTAGGACTCCATTTCCAGATTCTAGTCTCAACTTTACAAAAGTCAATTCTAAGACTCAGAAAAGTTAAACTTACATCCCATAGTTAAGTCTTTACCTTCCCACTAAGAATAGTATTTTGGGAAGCACGCTTAAGTGGTCACCTCTTTTTGAAGAGAATCTTCTCAAACACTCTTACTATTTTTTTTTTCAAACACTCTTATTTTTAAAAACTACTTCAAGGAACATTTGAGGTTTCAAGAAGGTACTCTAGCATCCAAGGAGAGATTAACGGTCAAGTCTGTGGGGTTCTAGCTCCTCCCACTTGTTATCCAGTGACAAGAACTGTTCTTTCTTTATCTATTTTCACACAGTAGACGTCTTAAGATTCCACTTAGAAACAGCATTCTGTGGCCAAAACATCTGAAAGCTCTTATCTAGGTCAGGGATCAGCAAAATTTCTTTTTTTCTTTAATTGAAGTATAGCGTATTTACAATGACTCAGGTCAGGTGTAGAGCAAAGTGATTGCTATACATACACACATACACTTTTTCAAGTTTCTTGTCCATAATAAGTTATTACGAGACACTGAATACAGTTCCACGTTCTATACAGGAGGTTCTTGTTCAACAAACCTTCTTAAAGGGCCACATGATAAATATTTTAGGCTTCTGGGCCATTCAATTTCTCCTACTACTCAACTCCGTCATTGTGGCACAAAGGTAGCCAGAGACAAAACATGATCAATGGGCATGACTGTGTTCTAATAAAACTTTAAATATGCAGCCAGGGTGAGGTCAGCCACAAGGTGGTGAACAAGAATTTTTGGGACATATGGCAAATGAGTTTTACCGGTAGGATTCAGAAATAAGAACCTGAAACAGAGAACGTGGTGACCTAACTACCAATCATCTGTAGGCCTCTGTGGGGAAAGTTCACAAGAAAGTTCCCTTCCTAGCAAAGGAAAACTTTACATTTTGAAGAAACTAAAAAGTCAGCAACATAGTAAGAAATTGCTATGGCAGGAGATGAAGGCTTAAACCTCACAGGAATCTCAATTCGCAGATTTATATACTGATCATTTGAAACAACTCTAATTAGCTAAAGAGGAAAGATTCAGGAAGCAACCTAGAAAAGTTACCAGTCCTTATCAGAACTAGAAGTTGACCATCCATTGTCAGAAGAATAAGTAGATCAACATTTGTTAGAACAATGTAATACTGGTCAGGCTTTGTCTGAACTCTGAGCTTTGAGCAGGCTCAGCCAAAAGAACAACGTAGCATAAGAGTAAACTCTCCTGCTATTCCAAAGAAAAATATTAATAAAAAGAAAACATCATACCAAAAAACACAGAAGAGGGGCTTCCCTGGTACAATGGATAAGAATCCGCCTGCCAATGCACAGGACACAAGTTCAATCCCTGGTCCAGGAAGAGCCCACATGCCATGGGGCAACTAAGCCTGTGTGCCACAACTACCATGCCCACATCCTAGAGCCTGTGCACTGCAACAAGAGAAGCCACTGCAGTGAGAAGCCTGCGCAACCAAGAGTAGCCCCCCGAAAACAGAGACGGCCCCCATGCAGCAACAAAACCCCAGTGCAACCAAAAAATAATTTTAAAAATAATTTTTAAAAAAGCACAGGAAGAATGTGAACAAGTACAAGATGACTGTGCTGTTAAAGAACAAGAATTTGGAGGAAATAAGAGAGAAGCTCTAAGGCTTTACTAAAAAAGGACAGTATCATCTTTTTTTTTGGCTGCACCACACAGCTTATAGGATCTTAGTTCCCTAACCAGATAACCTGTGCCTTCCACGGTGAAAGCTCGGAGTCCTAACCACTGGACCACTCAGGAATTTCCATCAGTACTTTCTGGTGGAAAGGATTAAGTTATCTGTTAGCTACTGAGTTCGGGTATGTACTATCCCTCCTAACACTGAACTAAATTTGTCAACAGAAACTGAGATTGTTAAGCTATACTGAAAATAAAATGTTCAAATACTGTTTTTGTAAAAAGAAATTATATCTAAATAGTCTACATGATTCCTTTTCTTCCTTTCACTTTTCATTTTTGTCCAAGCTGCAGGGCATGTGGGATCTTAGTTCCCCATCCAGGGATTGAACATGTGCCCCCTCCTTCAGAAGTGTGGAGGCTTAACCACTGGACCTTCAGAAAGTCCCTCCTTTCTTTTTTTAACTGAGGTATGGTTGATTTATAATACTATATGCTTTCAGGTATATAACCTAGTAACTCATAATTTTTAAAGATCATATTCCATTTATAGTTATGATAAAATATGATATGGCTAAATTCTCCATTCCTTGTAGCTTATTTATTTTATATATAATAGTTTGCACCTCTAAATCCTCTACCCATTTCTTGTCCTTCCCTACTGGTAACCATTAGTTTGTTTTCTGTATTGGTGAGTTTGTTTCTTTTTTGTTATATTCACATTTTACTTTTTAGATTCCACATATATGATAACATACAGTATTTGCCTTTCTCTTCCAATCTATTTCACAAAGCTACATCCATATTGTTGTAAATGGCAAAACTTCATTCTTTTTTATGGCTGACTAGTATTCCTGGACTTCCCTGGTGGTTCAGTGTTATCCACCTGCCAATGCAGGAGATGTTCGTTCAACCCCTAGGTCGGGAAGATCCCTTGGAAGAAATGGCAACCCACTCCAGTATTCTTGCCTGGGAAATGTAACGGACAGAGGAGCCTGAAAGGTTATAATCCATGGGGTTGCAAAAGAATCAGACATGACTTAGTAACTAAACAACAACTAACTGTATGGGTGTGTGTACACATCTTTATCCATTCGTCTGTTGATGGACACTTAGGTTGCTTCCATATCTAGACTACTATAAATAATGCTGCTGTGAACATTGGGTGCATACATCTTTTCAAATTAGCATCTTCATTTCCTTTGGATATATACTCAGGAGTAAAATTGCTGGGTCATACAGTAGCTGTATTTTTAGTTTCTTGAGGAACACCCAAACTGTTTTTCACAGTGGCCACATCAAATTTACATACCCACCAACAGTGTACAAGTGTTCTCCTTTCTCCACAGCCCTGCCATCATTTGTTATTTGTGACCTTCCTGATGATAGCCATTTTGACAGGTGTGAGGTGACCTGTTTCTTATTTATTTACCTCTGAAGGCAGGCTGGCCTGGAGAACTGAAAGAACCTTTTAGTTGAGTGAGGTGTAATACTTTTATCATTTAAATTCAGATGAAACACAGTGTTCAGAAAAAATTTTAAATATTATATATATATATATTTAGAAAAGGCAGAGGAACCAGAGATCAAATTGCCAACCTCTGTTGGATCATTGAAAAAGCAAGCGAGTTCCAAAAAAACATCTACTTCTGCTTTACTGACTACACCAAACCTTTGACTGTGTGGATCACAACAAACCGTGGAAAATTCTTAAACAGATAGGAATAGCAGACCACCTGACCTGCCTCCTGAGAAATCTTTACGCAGGTCAAGAGGCAACAGTTAGAACTGGATATGGAACAACAGAGAAATTGGGAAAGGAGTACGTCAAGGTGACGTACACTGTCACCCTGCTTATTTAACTTATATGCAGAGTATATCATGCAAAATGCTGGGCTGGATGAAGCATAAGCTGGAATCACGATTGCCGGGAGAAGTATCAATAACCTCAGATATGCAGATGACACCACCCTTATGGCAGAAAGTGAAGAAGACTAAAGAGCCTCTTGATGAAAGTGAAAGAGGGGAGTGAGAAAGTTGGCTTAAAACTCAACATTCAGAAAGCTAAGATAATGGAATCCAGTTCCATCACTTCATGGCAAACAGATGGGGAAACAATGGAAACAGTGAGAGACTTTTTTTTGGGTTCCAAAATCACTGCAGATGGTGACTATAGCCATAAAATTAAAACATGCTTGCTCCTTGGAAGAAAAGCTATGACCAACCTAGACAGCATATTAAAAAGCAGAGACATCACTTTGCTGACAAAGGTCCGTGTAGTCAATGGTTTTTCCAGTAGTCATGTATAATTTGAGAGTTGTACCATAAAGAAAGCTGAACACTGAAGAACTGATGCTTTTGAACTGTGGTGTTGGAGAAGACTCTTGAAGAGTCCCTTGGACTGCAAGGAGATCCAACCAGTCAATCTTAAAGGAAATCAGTCCAGAATATTCATTGGAAGGACTGATGCTGAAGCTGAAACTCCAATACTTTGACCACCTGATGTAAAGAACTGACTCACTGGAAAAAGACTCCGACACTGGGAATGACTGAAGGCAGGAGGAGAAGGGATGACAGAGGATGAGATGGTTGGATGGCATCACTGACTCGATGGACATGAGTTTGAGTAAGCTCCGGGAGTTGGTGATGGACAGGGAAGCCTGGAGTGCTGCAGTCCATGGGGTCACAAAGCATTGGACACGACTGAGCAACTGAAGTGATGAGCGCACGTGTGCACACACATGGGCATGCACGCACACACACGTGCGCGCACACACACACAGAGTCAGCTTACCAGGTATAGTTTGTCAACTCTTATTCTAGGCCAGAAACCAAGAAGCTTTTTCTAAAACACTTGGTAGAGTCTGTGAAAAAAATTGCTCAAGAAATAACTATAATGAAACTGTGTCAAAATATAAATGTGGGATTTTAAGTTTTATATAGTAATTATGTAAAAACTATGCATATAAAAGAAGTCTTGCTTCCTAGGGCAAGACAGACTTATATAAACTGTAGACTCCTGATATCTAAGATTTCTGACTGAATAGGTAAAACAGTGAACATGGGAAAGGCAGAGGAATTCTCAAGTTTTAAAAAGACTTTGTGAAACTACTGTAGCTTCTGAGAACTGGGAAACCAAAAAGCTGGAAGGGTTGAAGAACAGTAAAGGGGTGTTAGGGAACATCATATGAAAACAGCTTAAAAGCAGAGCAAACAGGAAGACTGCATGAACTGGGGCAGAGAAAAATTACGAAGCATGAGAAATTCTTAACACAGATGGATATTTCAACTACAAGAAACAAGGAGAGGACATGGATATCTAAAACCAATAGACTGGCTAGGAAATAAAGATTTCTCAGTAAAAAACAAGAAAAAATTGGCTAAATTTTTGAAACCAGTGGCACCCAGAACAGCAGTTTTGACCAAAAACTGGAAAGGGTAAATTCAGCTACTGATTTTTTAAACAAAAATCTTGCTTTTCCCTTCTTCTCTCCCTAGACCAAAAGTGATTATGGAAAATGACTTAATCTGGACTAGAAGTTCAAAAAGGATAGTCAATGAAAGGCCAGCTTAGCACACCTTAAATAAGTGACCTTGAGGAATGTTCTAATTGATCACTGACAAACAAGAGGATATTTGTAACTGCATGGTTACACCTTAAATTCTTCCACATTATAGTGTAATATTCTACAAGGAACAAAATGAAGGAAGGAGATGAAAAGTGTGAACCAGAAAGCATCAATCCAGAGTTTTCTGAATTCTGAAATGCCAGGATGATCAAGATCAGCAATGAGATATCATGATCATCAGAAAGAATCTTTACATTAGGATGTACCTTTTGCTGCGTGGTATGCCAAACTCAACCCAGTCTCCCTAAAAATGGGTTTTGATGTGTTTACAGTCATTAGTTTCTCCCCATGGCTAACGGAATTCAGGCTCAAGTTTTAGTCCATAAATATTTTTTAAATTATTCGAAAATAAGATGAAATAATCATTACCTTAAGTGCTTCTTCATATTCTCCTAAAAGGACAAAAATACATACTGTGATTTTTTTTTTTAACCAGCCCAAAAAGATTCAATTAAGCACAGTAAATTCTTATTTTTAAAAATTCTTAGCTTACAACTGTGTGTTACACAAACAGCTACTACTTTTTAGCTGACAAACTCCCTTCTCATGCTGTCATAAATAGAAGCTACTTGCAGATTAGTTCTCCCCCTTAAATCCTTCTCTCTTTGCTACCAGAGCCTTCCACTTACAAAAACTCAATCGAGTTCCCTTACACTAGACTTCATGAAGCTCAGGACTCAAGGAAGTTCAAGGATAATGGTAATACTATCATTTCAGCCAGTTAAAAATATAACATTGTTCCTATGGAAAATACACCCATGTTCTGAACAACCATCTTATTTATACATGGACTTTAATATATACACCAAGTCAAGGAAAAAAGCAATACTAGGACAACAAGTTAAATGTGTTGAACTGGGAAGTGTATTTTCAAAAGATTAGCATCTTAAATATAAGAGAATCTCTCATTAAAGAGGTCCTTTGGGTCCAATCAAGGTGCCAACCTATACACAAAAACTGCTAAAAAATAAAGATTTGCCATGAATCTAATGCCCCTGGGTAAATGAGTGCATTTATCCCAAATTCTACTGATACTGCAACAAGCTTTGAGTGTAAATGGAAAGACCAACGCCCATGACCAGATTAAGATTTTTAAATAAAGCTCAATAGGTTTTCTTAGGGACTTACCTTGACTGTTGATGGATACCTGTGAAGAAAAAGCAACAGTGAATTATAAACTTTTCATCAACTGAGCAATTCAGCATATTCAGCCTCATAGGACAGACGCAAAATCTCAGGTTAGGGGTCCCACTTTTCCAGTACCTGAACTAACTGTGCATAATTAATTTTATTGTTTAACTATCACATCTACCTTTATTTCAGGTACACTGAGAAGCAGCATGGTATAGTGGCTAGGAGCCTGGGCTCTGAAGCCAGAAAGTATGAAGTATGTATATCAGAGGGTATGAGTGGTACCCTACTCTACTACTTCCAAGCTTTGGCTCCTATGGGCAAGGTTACTGAAACTCTCTGTGCCTCAGTTTCCTCATGAGTAAAACAGAGATGATGATAATAGTGTACACACATATAGTACTGTTGTTAGTGTGACACGTTATAACCACTCAATGAGGGAGGGTTTGCCATTACTTTTTATTATTATAAAATAGCTTGTGACATAGTTGAACGTAAGATCACCTGTAGTTTTAAAAGTCATCTCTCAGATTTTCTTCTTCAACGCTGCTTTCCTATTTCTCAACTCCATTTCAGATGCCACGACTTGGCTTAGAACATGCAATTATCAAATAGATTTAAACTCCTACACAAATGAAATAAACAGTATTCTGATATTTTTGAATACCATATCCCTCTTGAGAAATAAGATCCTTATTCTGGATACCTGGTCATGGGTACTATAATATACTTTACCTCTTCATTTTCCTCATCCAAGTATTTTATTTGAATAGTGTTCAGATCAAATGAAACTTTTACCTGCAAATAAAATGTGCACACTATATGATCAAGGTATCAAAAAGGCAGGTTGCAATAGAACCCTAGAAATCATAATATAAAGGATGGATAGGGACTGCCCTGGTGGTCCAGTGGCTAAGATTCCATGCTCCCAATGTGGGGGACCTGGGTTCGATCCCTGGTCAGGAAACTAGATCCCACATGCCACAACTAAGAGTACATACAGGGCTGTTAACACTGATCACTCCCGAAGAGGTTGAAATAGTGGGTGAAGGGTGAGGGGAGTGGAGGGATATTAATCTTTTCATTATATATGTTTGGATTGTTTCATTTCTTATAATAGGCACATATTATACTTTTATAATTTAAAATTTACCATAAAGAAAAAAGGCAAGTTGTCAGCTCATTTCTAATAGGAAAAGAAAGATAGCTGTTTTTGATTTTCAGATCATTTGACAAGATCTAACTTTCTGGATAACCATCTGTCCAGGCAGTATAAATAAATAAAAAGAAATCTTTCCTGGAAGACAGAGGACTAGATCAGATCATCTTTTGAGGTCTCTCCACCATGTCTTACCATAACATATAACCTGGTAAAAGCAGGTTTTTAACCAAAGAGTTTCATTAGACAAACAGTTACACAGGAAGTAAAACATTCACTATCGCAAATCAAACAAAAACAGAACAAAGGGCAAACCTAGGGGAGGAAAGGCACTACCAATAACAACAAAAGGAACAGAACGAGCTGCTGTGAACATGTGTGGCAGTTTTCCTGCTCAACTCTGAGACACTCATCCTCCTGACCTACCAATAAATGCAACTGATCAGATCTTGAGACAAACAAAGATCTTTGTATCTTTGGTGGTTCAAAACCCACAGTAACCTATCTGCTCTCAATCAAGAGAACGTTAACCTAAGGCCTGGTTAGGGTGGGGCCCACGCCAATTCATTCCTTAGGCTGTATCTACAAGGAAAGAATTTCTAAGTCCTATTTCACTTAAAAAAATAATTTTACCTTCCTTTCTAAACTCTTCAAGACGAGTTTGTTTCCTCTACCAGGTACATCTGTATGAACACCGAACCCTTGACAAAAATTATTTTCCAAAAGGCTCAGAAATGGTAAATATGACAGATTTTACAGCTAAGAAGCATGGCTAAAAATAACTACTTTGGGGGAAAATATCCCTGTTTAAAGGATGGAGAAACAAAACAAAATAACACTCACCATAGCTTCCACATCAGCCCAAGTTGTATTTTCTGGGTCAGAAACTAGAAAGCTTTGAGTTTCATTTTTAAAAGTCACATTTAGTGTAACCTGTGGTTCCATGTTGTGGGGCTAGAGAAGACAGGATGGGTGAGGGAGAGAAAACACATTAGACAGGGTTCTGTAAATTGTATAAACATCCAGTCAGCTAATATCTGTGAGGACCTAATATAGGCTAGGCTAGGAGGACACAGCAGTGGATGACAAGATAATGTCCCTGCTCTTCTGCTATTTACAGTCCAGTAGGTGGTTTAAATGGACATGAGTTTGAGTAAACTCCGGGAGTTGGTGAGGGACAGGGAGACCTGGTGTGCTGTGATTCATGGGGTCGCAAAGAGTCGGACACGACTGAGCGACTGAACTGAACTGAGGTGGTTTAAAACAAATCTCACTTTCATGTGTTTGCAAAGAGAATGTAAATTTTGGTCACATTCATAGAAATAATCTAACATTTGTAAAATCCTTTGGATTTTATGAACTTTATGATGACTGCTTAATTAAACAGACACCTGCTATTACATATCTACTAGTCGGATACCAAGATGAGTAAGAGCAGGACTCTACCCTTGGGGAATTTATATTCCTAAAGCTTGAAGGAGATGTTCTAATAAATTTCTCTTGGAAAAGATGCCTTTTCCTAAACTGAGCAACCTAGGTTCTGTATTAGATCTATTTTAACAATTTAGAGGCTAAAACACTAGCCAAGAAACTACACAGGTATAGCATTCAACACCCTTTATTCAAGTCCATTTTTTTTGGAGGGGGAGTCTACTTTTTTCTTTTATGGAGAATTTCAAATATACATAAAAGTGGAGAATATTGATGATCTAACTACAACGATCAACTCAAAGTTACCCTCATTTCATCTATACTCTTCCATCCCCCCAATATGGATTGACTATAGTCAACTAATGTTTAAAATCTAACTATTAATGGGAAAATTTAAACCGTCACAAAAGAAAAGAGATTAATATACAATGAACCCTGAAAGACCCATCGACTGTCTTCATAATTACCATCAACTCAGGATTAATCTTGTTACAGCAATGCCTTTCCCTACTGGATTATTATTATTGTTTTTATTTCTTGGCCACATCATGCCACATGCAGGATCTTAGTTCCCCAACTGGGGATCAAACCTCTGTCCCCTGCATTGGGAGTGTGGAGTCTTAACCACTGGACTGCTAGGGAAGTCGTTCTACTGGATTATTTGACAGCCATCATTTTATCCATAAAATAATTGAGGGTTTTACCTCTCAAAGATAAGAATTTTACTTACAAATTGTTAGATCGTTTTTTATGACTTTACAAAAAAGTTTAAATCTAAATATAAGTTGTAATGTAAAAGAACAGCCTTTTCATGTTTCATGTTTTTTAAAAAACATATTCATTAATGCATCCTGACTAATCATCTACAGATTCAGATTCTGCTCCAGGCACAGACACTGCAGAGGACCAAGACTAAGTCTCAGGAGTTTACAGTGAAGAAGGGAGGGAGCACAGTAGTTTAAAAGAGCTGGATTCCAGACAGCTCTGGCACATTACTAGCCATATAAGTGTGAGCAGGTCATTTAAACTCTGAGCTTCAGTTTCTGAAACTGTAAAATAAGCCTGAGATCTCCGTTTTGCTAACCTCACAACACTATCATAAGGATTAATTAAAAATGTGTATGCTGGTTCTTTGAAAACAGTACTTAAAAATGAAAGTTATTATTATATAAATCAGCCTTTAGAACCTGACATAGTGCTGTTTTCCACAGTATAATGAACTGCCCTGTGAAACAATACAACTGTGAGACTGTCGTTAAAAAGGACCTTGAACTCTCTGAGAATCAGGGATTTGAGGGGTTTTTTTTGTAAATCCAAACAGAAACATCTCCCAACTTTTTCCATTCTCTGTCTCCACCTAGAGCCAAGAGCATTATCAAAATAGTTTCTGGCACCAATCCTGCTGACATCCAATATCTCATTCACACAGAATGCAATTCTTGGGGTCCTTAAAATTTGGACAAAACTCCTGTCAATGACCCAGAATCATGGGCAAAAAATCGGGGCGACTGACTAACTCACTCTGCCAAAATTCGATCTTCTAAAACACATTCTCAGTTTTCAACTTCTGAGAAGCACATTTCCACACTTTTGAGAATCCAAAAGGAAGCTAACCTCTTCCCTCTTTCTCAAATTACACAACTGGAAATAAGTTGATACGTTGGAACTCATCCAGCTGGCTGACTAGGGAGGTGAAAACAGGAAGTGGGAGATTCTAGTTTAGCTGGACTATAGCCAGGTCTTCATAAAGAGTCGCCTATTTATTTGCCTTGGATGTGAAATTCTTTCAGCAAGAGTATTGTCTTGAACTTGTGAAAATACCAAAGCTGTGGTTAGTGTCCTCTGTCACTGTAGTTAGTCAAGTCAGGTAGCTGGGGCCTAGGCTTTCAGCTTTCATTAACTGGATTATATTAAATTCATGTTCTGGCTCAGCTTTCCCTGGCACAAGTCAGCTTTTTCTCTAAGTCGACTTTTCCAGGATCTCAAACATCCCTTAAATGAAGTTGACCTGGAACCTGAGCTTTGATTACTGTCTCCACCTGAGGCCTATCCTGGAGTTAAAACGTGTGACCTGTTAACTCCATGGCTGATTCATGTCAATGTATGACAAAACCCACTGCAATGTTGTGAAGTAATTAGCCTCCAACTAATAAAAATAAATGAAAAAAAAAAAGAAGTGTGACCTGAAAGCTGTGTGTTCAATAAAAAGGAAAAACGGTGCCCTTCCAATACCAGAGGTCCCTGAACAAGAAGACTTCCTTACGAGGTTCTCCAAAAGTGGGATGAGGGGTAGTGAGGAGGCTGTGTGGGCAATGTCATCTTTTTTTTCCCTTGCAGACTTCATCCTAGTCTTCCAGTTATCGTTTCCTACCACTCCTTGTCCTCAAGAGAGTGTCACTACCCCGAGAACTCTCTCGTTTCCTTTGCCCAGGCCTTTTTTGTCCTGGGGAGTATTGGGGTCCTTCACCAGAAGCTAGGCGTTCTGAACCACGGACCCTCCGTCCCTCCTGTGGTATCCGCCCCCTCGGCCCCTCAGAACACGAACGGATCTCCCATCAGGTCACTGAAAGATCGGCTGTCCAAGTCACGGAAGAAGTCGCCCTTCTCCTTTGGAGGCTTCCTCCCGTAAACTTCCCCAAGTCCTCTCGGTGAGACGTGACACCACCCCTAGGTAACCGCAGTTGTTTCCTTACCAGCTTCCCGCCCCCGGGGGGCGCCTGCCGGAGGCCAATGCAAGAACCGTTCGCTGCCAGCTCTGCTGCTACTCCTGCGGGGTGAATCTAACATGGCGGACAGAGACAGGGCCTAGTCCCCAGGCTCTCTGAGTTTTCGACAAGATGATTGGTTCTTACCAAGTGTCCTTCAAAACTACAGCCCTACTGATTGGTCGAAGATAAGTTGGCGGGGGCGGGGCAGGAGGAGCTTGACCCTCACAACAATAACAAACACGGGGCAAAGGGGCGGAACTGCGAGTGCGCAGCCGTGGGCCGGGGCCCCGGATGATTTCCCCTTCCTAGGTAAAAAACGCGCCAGTTGCATTTCTTTAGGTCACCGACTTTAGAGGACGACTTGCTGGAGACTCGCGGGGCTGGATGGGGGCTGTAGTCTTACTAGGACTTGTAGGTTCTTTAGCCTATTATCCACGCTCGACATACGAAAACATAACACTCCAATCCATATCTGTTGGCATGCATAAGCGCGCGGAGCTCTTCAGTTTATCAACTGAATTGTCGTTAGACTCGTGTCTGCCTCCCGTATCGGAGGTTCCTCTCCATAAGACTACAGTTTCCAAGGAACACTGTGGCCAAGGCCTTTCGATCCGCAGTGCATGCTGGAAATCGTAGTTTTTCCCTCACAACCCTATTATTTACCTAAACTTGAAACTCCCATTGCGGCGGAAAGGGTGAGGGTACTGGGCCTCTTCCTGCGACTGCTTTAGGCACTATCATGAGCTCATATTCGGGCTCCAGGGAGCGATCTCGACGTTAGTACGGCAATCACTGTGACGTAATAACCCTCACCTGGAAGCGTAGAAGTGAGAGGGAGGGCGCCTATTAGAAAACTCCGGGAGAACTTGGTCTCTTCCGTCTCTTTCTAATTACGTAAAGAGGGAAAAGAATGGATGACCAATCGGGAGCCCCTGAGAGACTCAGCACTTTCTGCTCCGCCCTTCGGTTACGTGTCCGGTTCTCGCGTTCTGAGAGGCTCTCGCTCGCGGCAGCAGCCGGTTTCCGTGGCAACAATAAAGCGCGGGAATTACGGATTAGTTGAAACTGCGACTGCGCGGTGTGAGCTCTCTGGACAGAGGACTGTGCGGGGGCTTTTTCAGAGAAGTGGGCCTCTGGGTCCAGGAAGCCCGGACTTCTTGTTCTGGGTAAAAGGTGAGAGAACCGTGGGGAAGGGAGAGCGGCCCGTGGGGTGCTCTGGAGCAGTAAACAGGTGTGGGGAGAGCCGGGGAGAGGTGACTCCTGAAGGCGAGCAAGACGGATGTTATTTATCGGGTGGGGGGCGGGCGGAAGGTGGAACCTGAGAAGCCTAAGACGTTGAATCTGGGGAAGTCGTGGGGAGAGGGGCTGTTTGTGTGTCACGGGATCAGGGGGAGGTGCAGATGATAAGGGCGGGGGCAGGGTGTGTCCTTGGGGGACTCCTGAGGGGGACAACATGGTATAAAAAAAGACGAGCTGGTATATTTGAGAAAGGGACCCTGAGGGAAAACGGGGGCAGGAATGTATCTGGGAAGAGGAGGAGAAAGGACTTTGTACGAGGCCGAGCGCTTAAGAGCTGGATTCTTGTGGGTTTCTGTGAAGGAGCCAGAAGGAAGTAGAAGGAGGAGCCTCCGTAGGCCCAGATGCTGCTGGTACCGATGTGCCTGAGAATCCTGAGTGTAGGCCAGTAGGAAAATCTGGGGAAGGACAGGAATAGGAGCGTTGGTTGGTGTTGATTTCTATTTTAAGGGCGAGAAAGAAAACAACTGTGACGATTGGAGAAATAGGAGGGTACCACCACTCACCCAGTCAGTCATCCCACTGTGGCTTTCCCTTTCTTGGAGAACGAAAAAAATCAAAAGGAAATGGTTGGAGGCTAGATATGCACAAACAGAATTGAAATGGTCTTAATTACACAAAACGTTTAGAATTTTTTAAAAAATAAGGCTTTGGTTATTAGTTCTATGGTCTGATTCTAAAGCATTCCAATGTTAAATATCACTTAATGAAACTAAACTGCTGTTTATATAACCCTTTTAAAGTGATTTATGTAGTTCATTGGAACAGGAAGAAATGGATTTATCTGTGGATCATGTTGAGGAAGTACAAAATGTCCTTAATGCTATGCAGAAAATCTTAGAGTGTCCAATATGGTAAGTTGAAAGTTTATTAATTTGAAATTCTTCTTGTATATCCACTATATCCTATGCAAATGAATGGAATTGACCTTAAGATGGTAAGGAGAAAAAAATTGTTATGTCTGTTAAGATTAAGCTATTAAAGTGCTCGGGCCTGGTGCACTGGGAAGACCCAGAGGGATCGGGTGGAGAGGGAGGTGGGAGGGGGGACCGGGATGGGGAATACATGTAAATCCATGGCTAATTCATTTCAATGTATGACAAAAACCACTGCCATGATGTAAAGTAATTAACCTCCAAGTAATAAAAATAAATGGAAAAAAAAAAGAAAAATGTCAAAAAAATAAAAAAGAAAGTGGAAGCTAACAACAACAAAAAAAGATTAAGCTATTAAAGTTGCTGCTTTTCTTAGCTGAAGACCTTTAAGAATATAGGAAATTTCTCCATTTTCTCCACTCGGGCTCTCCCTTTCCCTTTCTGTCACCTCAGCACACACAGCTCCCTGTCTTGAATGTCCACAAATTGTCTTGATTGGTTCTATCAATGTAGAACCAGGGATCTGGTTTAGCTTAAGTGATATTTGGACTTTTTCATCCAGCTCCATAACCAGCTTGAGCACTTGGAATGGACTTAATTGATAATGGGAAAATAAAATCATGAATGCTTGATGTCAGTGAGTGGCTATGTCCTGGGAGAACTTTTGGCTGAAATTAGCCCTAAATGAGAATACTACAAGTCCTCAAAACCTTTAGCAAGTTTCTTTGACTTTTGTACCTCTTTATTTATTTAACAATTTTTATTTTTTACATAATTTTTAAAGATTGCTCTCCATTTATAGTTATTACGAAAGATCGGCTATATTCCCCATGTTATATTGGTTTGACCAAAAACTTCATTCAGTTTTCCTGTAGGATGGTATAGAAAAACACAAACTTTTTGGCCATCCCAATGTAATACATCCTTGTAGTCTGTCTTACACCTCTCACCCCCCCAATCCTGTCGTGCCCCTCCCCAGTGTTAGACATTATGAGTGAACCTTTGTTTTTCTTCATCTACAATATAAGGAGGGGACTAGAATTCTAAAGGCTTATAATTTACATACAGTGAAATGCAGAAAACATAAGTGTACAATTCTTTGACTTTGGGTAAGTGTATGTATCTTTGTAACCCAGTCAAGGTATGGAACATTTTTTTCAACCCCAGAAAGGTATCTTGTGTGGGTTCAGGAGCTCTTAACTTACTGACCCTCCATGACCCTTGGAGGCCTATAGATAGAGCTATATTCCTATATAGTTTCTTCTTTTTTTTTTTCCCCTATATAGTTTCTTAATGTAATTTTATATTTTGTATTTTATATATTTAAAGACATTACTGTGAGAATGGGGTTCATGAGCTTTTATCAGCTGCCGAGAGGGGTCAATGGTACAACAAAGGTTATGAACCACAGGCGAAACTATCTCAATGATATCTCTTAAATCTATTACATAAATTAAAATAAATCTACAAAATAAATTAAAAACCATGCCTCAGAATTTCTTGGTGAAAAGCCAGAAAGGAAATTTAGAAAGTTTACTGACTACCCTCTCTCCTCTTATTCTCTGGTCATTCTGTCCTCTTCACTGATCTTCAAACATTCTCCTGTGTCTGAGCTTTTTTGCTTGCTGCTCCCTCTGCCTACAACGAACGCTCTTCCCCTGGTAATTGCATGGCTCACAAATCTTGATGGAAATACCATCTTTCAAAGAGGCAGACAGTGTTAATTTGAAATTGAAACATTCCCACCCCCAACATACTCCTTATCCCCCTTTCCTCCATAATGCTTAATTTTTTCATAACTCATTACTACCTGACATTCTGTATAATTTATCCTTTTTCTCAACCCCCACAGAATATAAACTCTGGGCAGAGGTTTTTGTTTTATTTACTTGATATCATCAGTAGTTAGAACAGCATTTGGGACATAATAGCCACTCAGTCAACATTTGCTGAAGGTGTTAATAAACTAAATAGGTTCTTTGATATAGTTGAGTTTTTTAATATGGTCATAGTGGTGAATATTATTCAAAAAATAATCTGGAAAGTTGCACCTTTCCTTTGTGCTTCATGAAAGTTTTTCATATTTGGAGTCAAGAAAATAATATGAAATAAAATGCAAGTTGTGTTTTCAGAGAGAAACAAGATTTATAAGTAACCTACCTTCTGCTTTCCTGTCCCTCAGCATTTCAGCTCAACAAGAACCCAAGCTGAATGAGCTTTACAGCCAAATTTATGAACCATCAGAGCCAGGGAAGCAGGAAATGACAATTGGGGAAAAATTGCTTTTGAAACAGCATAAGACTTACTCATGATAATTACAAAGAGTGATCAAAAAGTCCTTAATAATATGGCATTTGGGTCCATTTACTTTACATTTCCGTGAGACCCAGTCATAATAGTATGTAATATTCTTTCTCATTCTGGCAAATTAATCCATCAATTAAAAATCTCAGATAAAGTAAAAATTAAAGACGTGAGAATGGAAGTTAATGTTAAATTTTATTTTCAGTCAATTATTGTGTATTTTCCAGCTCCTTTTTTATTTTTTCAATCTGTTTTCTGTTAGACATAGACATGAGTTTTTAAAACTATTCTTGGTTATTGTTAAACCTTAAACTCATTTAAGTGGGGCATTCTAGGATGGGAATCATATTTAGTTCATTTTTTTTTTTTAAACATTGCCCAGAACTACAATTTTCAGCTATGTTTTAATAAATGATTCCTGATTGTGACTGGAAACAGTATTACTTATGTTAGCTGTAGGGTAGGTTTCCATCTTCTTTGAGGTCTCAGGCTGAAATTTCTTCTGCCGGCCTCTGAGTCACTATTGGCATTTATTTCTGATAATTGGTATTTCTTTCTAACTTTTTACATGAATATATAAATTATTTGACTTTCAGAAGAGTTTGCTAAAGTGTGTATCCTAGTGGGTGGTATGGTTGTATTTTGAACCTAACCTAGCTGCTTTTTCCAATCATTTACCATGTTGGAAGCTCAAGTTGTAATTAGTAATTTACATTCAAAATGTAGAAGTAGGCCTAAAATATTTCCAGGTTTGAAGAGTGTTTAAAAAATTTGAATCACTTTTATAGTAAACATTTACTCTCATCATGACCTAGAAGAAAACATTAAAAGTTTTTTTCTTTCATTCCCATTCTCCAGGCTTTTCCTTCAACAGTCATTACCTTTTTACATATTGGAATTTTCATCTTTTCAAAGTTTGTGTTTACAGTATGTTTGTATAGCTTAGTTTTTAATTACCATACTGAAATATAATTATTTCAAAATTGAGTCAGTGGTGAGAATGAAAGCCATCTGGTATCATAGCTAAATCCAATTTCTCTTTTACTGAGAATTTCTTTCGCTATCTAGCCTATCTGAGGAATAATGATTTGGTAACAAATCAGAGTTCTCTTTGTCCAGTTGTTTTTCTTCTTAAAATCACATTCAGTCCTAGTAATAATACTAACATTGGTACAGATCATCTCAGGTTGTAAACATTTTCCCAAGTAGCATTTACTTTTGTTCTCACAGTAGCCTTAAGAGACTGGTAGAGTGGGTGACCGAGGAGGAAACTGAGGTTCAGGTAGAGTGGTTGGCCTGAGATTGCTCTGCTAATAAAGAGAATTG